CTGTAAGTTTTCTTGTAATTGTCCTATTTATAGTTACATCACCCCTCTAATAATATTGTAACGTGCTACAGAATCTGTTGGCGCTATATAAATGGCAATAATAATAATAATAATAATAATAATAATAATAATAATAATAATGCAAAGACAAAGAAGCAAATATTTATACCAACTCCAAAGTACATCCACATCCCTGCTAACATGCAGAGACATTTAAGGTCATAGCAGGGCCGGTGCAAGGATTTTTGGTACACAGGCATAGATGATATTTGCGCCCCCCTTCCCAAAAGCATCTTCACCTGTGTGCCTTTTGTTTCTTATCTGCTTTTTTTAGTGTATCTCCCCTATTTTACACCATTGTGTGCCTTACACATCCCTTGTGTATCTCTTACAACCCCCCTTCATGTGTCTTACTCCCCCCTGCTCCTTTGTGTGTCGCCTTTTCTCCCAGCCCCTTTGTCTTTTACTCTTACCAGCTCCTTTGTGTGTTTCTCTTTCACACAAGCCCGTCTATCTCCCCCCAGACCCTCTGTGTCTCCTTTTCCTCTTTGCCAGCCCCTGCTTTTATCCACAGCCCCTCTGTGAACATTCTCACCCCCAGGCCCATTTGTGTGTCTTTCTTCCACCTCATGTCCCTCTGTGTGTCTTTCTTACCATGTCCCTTAGTGTTCCTATCTCTTCCCCTCCATGTCCATTAGTGGTCCTCTCCCCTCCCCTTCATGTCCAACTGTGTTCCTGTCACGGGTGGCGGTCCGGTGCCCGGGACCCAGACACTGTCCGGGCGGCGGTGCGTGGACCGGGACCCATTATGCCTGATGTTGAGAGTAGGAGTCACAGTGTGGAGATGGATTAACAGGGTCTGGTGCAGGGCAACCGCACGCCCCCTGGTGTTGAGCACCAGCGTTTGTGCAGCCACATACCAGAACCCTGATTCAGCTTTTGCGGATCCCAGGAACTAGGAGCAGGTAATTAAGCAGACCTCCCAGGAGCTGGATAGGGAGGCTCTGCAGCAGGGATGTATCCAGTACTGAATCAAGGCAGAACTAGGAGAGCAAGGCACCATACAAGAAAACAAGACCAAACTAGGAGAACAAGGAAATACTAGAAAGACACCATGCATGAGAACAAGACAAGACTAGAAGAACAGGGCAAGACTAGAAATAGACACCATACATGAAAACAAGACAGAACTAGTAGAACCCAGAACCAGAGCAGGGCAGAAAGCATAGCCTAAAACATGTACACAAGACATGAGGAAAACAAGAACATAACATGGGCATGGCTGAACAGGACTGTACATAGACTGGGATTACAAGACAAGAGATACAAGGTAAAACAAGAGGAAACATAGCTAAGCACTAATTATGAAAAGTATGGGGATTTAGTCACATTATATGATCATACATTGCATAAGCCTGCCAACAACGCCAATGTACCCCATATCTGGCAGGTCCTACACTGCCTAATGCAAACTAAAACAACTACACTAAACCACAATAGCACTTACCTGCAAAAAAAGGGCAGAGAGATGAAATACTGCTGCAGGTCCAAGCTGAAACAAAAGGAAACAAGCGGGTGTGGCAACATAAAACAAACAAACATTTAAAGGAAACCTGGAGACTGGGAAACCCAGGGATGGAATACAGAAATGAACCCAGAAATCCCAGGAATAAAGAAACCAGACATAGACTAGAAAACCAGAAAAAACAAGCAAGGATAGCAAAAAGAGTACTGGATACCAGAAGCCAATGCAGGAAAGATCCGCAGCGAGGAACAGAACGTGACAGTTCCTCTCCGCTCCTGTAATGTTTTTTCCCTCCCTTCCCTGTCCCTTAGTGTTCCTCTCCCCTTCCTTCCCTGTCCCTTATTGTTCCCATCCCCTCTCTCCCCTGTTCCTTTAGTGTTCCTCTTCCCCCTGTACCTGTCTCTTAGTGTCACCCCATCACCCTTAATGTTCATCCCAACTCCCTTAGTGTTCCTCCTTCTCTTTTAGTGATCCACCTACCCCGGTGTTTTTCTCCACTCCCCTGTCCCATAATGTTCTTCCCCCCTCCTCTGTCCCATAGTGTCCTTCCCCTCCTTCCCTGCCCCATAGTGTTCTTTCCCCCACTCCCCTGTCCCATAGTGTTCTTCCCCTCCCTCCCCTGTCCCATATTGTTCTTTCCTCCCAACCCCCCTTAGTGTTCCTCTTCCTTCTCTTTTAGTGATCCCCTACTCCAGTGTTATTCTCCACTCCCCTGTTCCATAGTGTTCTTCCCCCCTTCCCTGTCCCATAGTGTCCTTCCACTTCTTTCCCCCACTCCCCTGTCCCATAGTGTTCTTCCCCCCTCCCCTGTCCCATAGTGTGCTTCCCCTCCTCCCCTGTCCCATAGTGTTTTTCCCCTCCCTCCTCTGTCCCATAGTGTTCTTTCCTCCGCCTACCCTGTCCCATAATGTTCTTTCCTCCCCCCTTCCCTGTCCCAAAGTGTTCTTTCCGCCCCTGTCCCATAGTGTTCCTTCCCCCTCCCCTGTCCCATAGTCTCCCTACCCCTGTCCCATAGTGTTACTCCCCTTCCTGTCCCAAAGTGTTCTTTTCTCCCCCCCCTACCCTGTCCCATAGTGTTCTTTCTTCCCCTCCCCTGTCCCATAGTGTTCTCCCCCCTGTCCCATAGTGTTCCTTCCTCCCCTGTCCCATAGTGTTCCTCCCCCTTCCTCTGTCCCATAGTATCCTTCCCCCCCGTCCAATAGTGTTCCTTCCCCCTGTCCCCGGTGTATCTCCTACCTTTCTGGTAGCGTGACTGAGCGGAGCACGCACTGCTCGGCCATGCTACACTGAGTGACTGGCAGGAGGGAGCGCTGTGTGCCCACCTTCTGCCGGTCACTCTAATCTAGCTCCCCTCAGCCCTGTGCGCCCTAAGGCGCCCACTTGTGTCGTCTTATGGAAGTGCCGGCCCTGGGTCCTAGTAAATAAGCAATTCAACAAGCATTCTCCATGAACGACATGAACCATGTTAGATACATGTGTGTAAACACATGGATTTATAGAACCTGTAACAGGTGTCACGGCAGGACCTCTTCCAAATAGTGATAGAATTCCAGTTTCATGACATCAGCAGCTTATTTGCTTATTTATACAAATTATTCCAGGAGTCAGTGAGCATATATATGTAATATAACTATGCCTAAACAATGGGAAGATCTTCTATATAGTTAATATACAGAAATGTGTATGAGTTGTTACTTTGATAACTTTGATCATAAACATGACCCTTTTAACAGCCATTAGCATGTTAGGGTAAGAGGTTTATTTTGCAATCATTGAACCTGAAAGCAAAATGCAACCCATGTGTTTCTGAATTTACTTGTTCTTAGTCATCTACATACTATCCACTTTACTTTGAATTCCTGGAAATTCTCACTTTGGTGAATACCTCTTATGATGTTGTGATTACATTCATTCCACTAAACAATGTGTATAGTTTGGAAAAAAACTGGCTTGACCTGGGTTTGCTTGTGGTATGTCACCTCTGTACTTATACTCAATATACTCAATACTCAATATTCAAGGTATATAGTATGTCAATCATTTCAGAGACACAGAACAGACTGAAAGCACATTGTGGGACACTGCAGTGTTTGTTACTTCCTCTACATTTTTGCATGTGTAATATTTTATACTATTTGTTTCATGGAGTCAACATTATCATTAGGGTCACCAGGTGAAAAATTTAAACATCTCATAAGTGACAATGAGAAAAAATAAAAGGGACATTTACGTAAAAGGTGAATACTGTATTGCATTCTTTATAAATTCCTTTATAATTTTCCTATTCATACTATGAAACAATCATACCCACTCCCACTACAGACCCTATCCCCACTACTGCCCCTATGCCCATCCACTGCCCTATCCTTCACCATTACTCCTAACCCCACTATAGCCCCTTATCCCAACACTAAATCTTTTAACTCCCACCATAACCTCTGACTCCCCCACTGCTACCTTTATATCTCACTACAGCCACTATCTCTCACAGCAGCCCCTATCCCACTGCAGTTTCCAACCCCTATTACTGCCCTTATCTCTCACTATTGCTTCTAGCCTTCACTGACGTTATACCCCACTACTGTCTCTAATCCCCACTACTGCCTGTAAACCACACTACAGACTGTAACCCCTATTACAGCCTGAAACCCGCAGCTCATATTCCCCACTATAGAGACTATTACCCTCTACATCTGCTATCCCACACCTATCCCCAACTGCAGCCTCTAAGCCCTGTTACTGCTCAACTACTGCACCTATTGCATTTATTTCTTCTCACTCTTAGAGTGTTTATATGTGTGTACTTGTCACTGAGTGTATATTTTTGTGTGACTGTGTGTGGTTTTTTTGTGTGACTGTGTGCCTATATGTGCATCTTCAGGTATACTGTACGTGATCACTTGGTCGTTCGATTATCATAGTGCTCTGCAACTAAATTGGTGTTTCTTAACTCCGGGTCAGGATACAAATTTTCCTTTTCAATAAGTTCCTGGTAACTCCACACAATCGACTGATTGCTATATCAGTTAATGACAATACACTGGATACTTAGTGTTGCAGAATTATATTTTTCCACATATCTTATTACATGAAAAATGAGTCAATGAGTAAATTTTATATTTGAAGAAAGGGTCTCAAGCTAATGCTACGTACTTCATTTGGGTTCCTCTCAAAAAAGATCAAGAACCATTGAACTAAATGCTCAACGCTCAAAGAATTAAAATGTTCTGATCTAGCTAAGCAGGAGCCTATAGCTGACTGGCCATGATTTACAAAATGTTTATGCATAGTACACCCAGTACTCTACTATGCAATTCAAGTCTATATGCAAATATTCTTACATGACACAGCACAGCACTGTAAAACTTGGCAACATTACCTGCATGCAATACATTGCTGTGATTTTCTCCTCCCCTTTTTTTAAACAGGTTATTTTCCCAGGAAGCAAATCTCTTACAATACACACACACACACACACACACAGATACCTATAGAGCAAGGAGACCTACAAATGTGACCAGGGGCACTGGACACCCAATATTTCATTGTGCTACCATGACTGAGGAAGGGAAGGACCAGTTTGGTAGTCTGACACTATTTAACAAAGATGATTTTGACAATGAATGGACCCCGGTGGCTTTAGGTGGATTTGGTCAAGTATATAAAGTGAGGCACAAGAAATGGTGGACGGTATATGCTGTGAAATGCTCTACGCCCATTCTGGGAGATCCTGGACTTGCAAGGTATATTTTATTTGGCAAAATAACTAATATTTGTGTGTAAGGTATAGGGTCCTTTTTTTAAATTTCTACGTGATTTAGTGCTGTATTAGGACAGCCTATAAAAATCATACTTCAAAGCTACATATCAACATGGAGAGGCTAAAGCTGTCATTTTAATACTAGTTTATTTAGGAGATCCTAAATAAAATCATTACCTGGCAATGCTAATGTGTCTTTTCAATAGTGCTTAAGCAGATTTATGTTAGCATATATTGTTTACTCCATTATGCAACTCTGTATGCCGAGCTCTAAATGAACACTCTAAATACCATAAACATTACAGCCTGTCAAACTATTCACAAACGCTTGATTACTTACCTTAGAAAGGTTGCCAAGGCATTCTTGGCACCAGAACTAGTACCACTGGCTGTAGTTGTTATGGTGCTTGGAGTGTTCATTTGAATGTGTAACCACAGAGAAAACTCTAACAAATTACTTTAGCCCAAGTCCTATGGTAATTGTAATAATAATAATAATAATAATAATAATAACAAACATTTGCAGTAATTTCCTTTTATTAAATCACTGCCATTAACATATTTATTTACTGATTATATAGGTTATTTACCATCAATGAATTGTCAGAAAATCAAATTAAATTTACAGTGAAAAATCTAATATTAGGCTACAATAGCTAAATCAGACATTGACACTTTGTTGTATAACCCAGTATGTTGGGGTTAGCTGACATTACCTTAATAAATTGACACATTAGGCAAAAGGGTTCTGGAAATCCTTCAAACTTGACTATTTATGAACTATGCAGTTTTGTACAATATTCCATAACTAACCATAAACCATATAATTTATAACTGTTAAACTATTGTACAATGCTATTTTAATAGACAGATTATGATTCAGAATCCTGTAGGTCAGGTATGATGATATCATCCATGCATTATTCCCCTTAATGAATAGATATATGAATGGATCATGCAGTCTGGAGCCCCTTATCTCAGGAAGACTGGGACACAACCCTGCCAACAGAGATTAGTGGGAGTTTCACTTCAGAGTGGTATGTACTGTCTTTTATTATGACTGCAGCTGATAAAGGTGCCGTCCTGGCCTGAAATTCCCACTAATCTCAGGCTGCAGTGGGTCATTTCTATAGTAGTTCCTTACACTAAAGCCCCCTTTAACCCTTACATTATCTAACACACTGCACTACTAAACTACACCAACATTAACCACTGCAAATTAACTCCTTTCTTACAGTAACACTAGTCTAAACTTTTCTGTGCCTTAACACTGACATTAACTCTAACCCAATAATATCTTGTAATACAACAATTATATAACGACAGAGCATGTATTAAGAGAAAACAATGTCAACTCAGTGCTCTGAAGTTATTTATAAAACACTTTTGGCTAAAAACCCTAACCAGAAAAGTCAGATTTTAAAATGTGTAGTACAGTCTGTGATATTATAGTAATAAAAGGCTTTAGGGCAAATAGGGAACTGGTGTCAGTATGGAATCCCTTTGTGTTCTTTGAAATTTGCATATTAAATGCCAGGGCTGCCATCAGAAATATTGGGACCCCTTAAACAGCTCAAGGTCTGGGCCCATGGGACATGTCCCTAGTCTGCCCACCGTCCCTCCCTCCTCCCCCCGAGTCTAACCACGAGTAAAGTCGATGCAGTGTATGTTTATAGTAGAGGCAGTGTGTGTGTATGGTGGATGCAGAGTGTATGTATAATGAATGCAGAGTGTGTGTATACAGTGGATGCAGAGCGTGTGTAAGTAAAGTGGATGTAGTATGCGTGTGTAAAGATGATACAGTGTGTGTAGGGATGTAGTATGTGTATAGTGGATGCAGTTTGTGTTTATAGTGGATGCAGTTTGTGTTGTTGATGAAGTGTGTGTATTGGATGCAGTGTCTGTGTTTGTGTAGTTGATGCAGTACCTGTGTTTGTATAGTGGATGCACAGTGTGTGTTTGTGTAGTGTATGCAGTGTGTGTGTTTGTGTAATGAATGCTGTGTGTGACTGCAGTGTTTGTGCAGTGGAAGCAGTGTGTGTGTGTTGTTGGTGTTGGATATGGTCTGTGGGTGGTGAGCAGATTTTTATTCCCCCCTCCCTTCCTGTGGCCAGGGCAGTGGCGTCTCTAGGATTCATTTTTAGGGGGGGCACATGGAGGGCCAGGGACAAAAGTAGGGTGGCACATTTAACCCCGCCCTCGCCGCAGTTTGACCACACCCCTGCCACATGTTAAGCCCCGCCCCCGACACAATGTTTTTTTTTTTGTTTTTTTTCATAATCTCTGGTGGAGAATTCATTATTTTCCACCAAGGATTATTAAAAAACAAACACATTTTCCTTGATACAGTCCATACACATACACAAACACACACACACACACACACACACACACACAAACAGACTGCTGAGTCCTTACACACACAGAGACTGCTGAGTCCATACACAGAGACACAGACTGCTGAGTCCATACACACACACAGACACACACACAGACTGCTGAGTCCATACAAACACAGACACATTGACTGCTGAGTACACACACACACACACACACACACACACAGACTACTGAGTTCATACAGACACACACACAGACACACACACAGACAGACTGCTGGCTCCATAAACACACACACACACACACACCAGGGCCGGATTAAGAGCACAGTGGGCCTGGTGCTGACAATTATGATGGGCCTAATTACAGAATCTTATCGATCAAAAACACTAAAACAATCATACCTCCCAAGCGTCATGTATCTGATGGAGATGGTGCTGGAGGGAAACTCATAGGATGCAGCTATAAGAAAACACATACTCTATGCTAATTTCTCTCTAATTTATGCTTTCATCTTTCAAGTAAATCCATAACCCCTAACAGCAGTGTCCAGTGAAGCAGGAAGTCAATGGGCGGGGTAAAAGGGTGTGCCACTGGTGCGAATCACATGACAAGACCTGCCAAAAGGGGTGAACATGCCCAAAAAGGGGGCATGTTTGTCTAAAGAATTGGAAGGTCAGCCTGGCATGAATGCATGTCAGGCTGCCTGCCAATCCTGCAGGCTGTCCAACTAAGGTCATACTATGCAGGCAGCACCTTGAGCTTGAACATAAATGCGTCTAATGATGCGCTCACTCCATTCTTTCTAAGGACTGTCCCCTAGCACTCGCTGGTCCACTTGTCTCCTTACCTTCTTACTAGCAGGCAAAAGTTCCTGGTATATAGTCTGAGACAGAGAAAAGGTGTCTGTAGTGAGTGTAGAAGAAAGGGGACATGCCACAGTGTTAGAGAGACCAACGTCTGCATTACCTAAACTAGCCAGTGCACACAAGTTTTGTTCCCATACATCCCTCTTAAGTTTCCAAACTTAAAGGGACACTATAGTCACCAGAACAACTACAGCTTATTGTATTTGTTCTGGTAAGTACAATCATTCCATTCAGGCTTTTTGGAGTAAACACTGTCTTTTCAGAGAAAATAACTCCACTGGCTGCTCCTTGGATGTCTCCTAGAGGTGCTGCCTGGGGCAGTACTGCCTAGTGTGTAGCACTGCCATTCAGTGTCTCCACACTCTGCATGCAGAAACTGAACTTTCCTCATAGAGATGCATTGATTCAATTTATATTTATGAGAAGATGCTGATTGGCCAGGGCTATGTGGGACTTGTGCTGGCTCTGCCCCTGATCTGCCTAGTTGACAGTCTCAGCTAATTATATGGGGAAGTATTGTAATTTGCTCAGACCACCACTTCTGAGCCAGCAGCTGCAGAATTGAATACAAGTAATATTTTACTATATTTAGGGTGGTGGTTTTAACATAATAGGGTCAGAAATACATGATTGTGTTCCTGACCCTATAGTGCTCCTTTAAGCAAGAGTATGTGAAGAGTAGTTAAGGTTGCCACCTTTCTTGGAAAAAAATACCAGCCTTAATGATTTGTATAATTAATTAGTTATGCGTGACATCACATGATGTAAATCACAAGGAGTGACATCAGAGAAAATTCTGTAAAATCACCAACAAACTACACACAGTTTGATTCTGCTGTATAGATGGATTGCTCCCAGTGTCTTCCTGTCTCCCAGTGTCTCAGTCTCACAAGTCACCCAGTGTCTCAGTGTCCCTATGTCGCCCAGTCCCCTAGTCTCCCAGTGTCTGTGTCCCCATTTCTCCCAGTGTCCCAATGTCTCAGTGTGTCCCTATGTCACTAGGATACCGGGGACACTGAGAGACCCGGGGACACTGGGAGACATGGGGACATTGAGACATTTAGGGAAACTGGGAAAAATGGGGACACTGAGACACTAGGGACACAGACACTGGGAGACATGGGAACACTGAAACATTTGGGGACACTAAGACACTAGGGACACAGACATGGGAACACAGACACTGGGAGACTAGGGGACACTGGGAGACTAGGGGACACTGGGAGACTAGGGGACACTGGCTGGGAGACAGACACTTGGGGACACTGGGAGACATGAGGGCAGTTGTGGACATAGACATGTGGACACTGGGACATATAGGGACACTGGGAGACATGGGGACACCAGGCACACTGAGACACTAGGAACACAGACACTGGGAGATATGGAGACACTGAAACATTTGGGGACACTAAGACACTAGGGACACAGACACAGGGAGACTAGGGGACACTGGGACTCCTCGAGGGCCTCCAGCATGATGTTGGGGGGCCATGGCCCCCCCCCTAGCGACGCCACTGGGCCAGGGAGTGGGAAGATTAGATTCCCTTGTGAGCTAATGGCACAGGAGTTGAATACTTCAAAATGGGCCAGGAGTTTCTATTTTACTCCTTCAGGAGCCAGGCGGTACATCCTCTTCATCTCTAGTGAGCCCAGCATGCGTTGCATGCTGCGGGGAGTGTTGCCATGGCAACCCACAGAAACACTTTTGACAGACATAGCACATGAGAAGACACACCCGGAGGTGGAACTTGGAGTCTCTTGCGCCCTCTCTTCATTACAGAAGACAGCAAGGACCTTAAAGTGCATGTCTATCATTATTATTGTTTTTAGCAACAATAGGTTGATGAGGACCCTATTCCAACAAGCTTACAGTCTCTCCATATAGTCCCTTACAGCCGTAATGGCTGTACCCACCATGATGGCGGCCCCCTATCAGTGTTCATTATACTCAAATGTTCGTGACAATCATATACACACTACATTGGATAGTAAACTATGGTGAGAGAGAAATTTGGGTTCTAGGGATATTACAATAAATATCTTATATTATTTTACTTCACTCATTGACATGCAAATCAATTTATAACTTTTTTGACCTGCGTTTTTCTGGATTTTAGTTTTTTGTTATTCTATCTCTCACTGGTAAAATACTGATCATTTCTTTGTCAGTGGGCAAACATTCAAAATCAGCAGGGGATCAAATACTTTTTTCCCCTCGCTGTGTATATATATATATATATATATATATATATATATATATATATTGTAACAAACCACCTCTTTTACAGGTAGGATTGTCACAGATCTTGCAGTAACCACAGCCTTCTGGGGTATACAAAGTCCAGGACACACTCAGCTCGGTTTTCCTTTTTATTTGATAAGAAAGCAGGTGCTTTAAATAATAATAAACAAACAAAATACCTTGCTCTTACTAGACAGAAACCACTGTCTGTAATTGGGTGGCTTTCCCAATTTAAAAAAAAATAAAGAATTGGATTATCAATAAACACAATCCTCCTCCTCCTCCTCCTCCTCCTCCTCCTCCTTTGACTAAAGGAACTCTTTCTATTGAAGACCGTGAGTGCAGTGAATTTTTCTGTTTGTTTTTTTGGATACAAAAGCCCAAGGTTAGGCACCCGGCACTTTGAATAATATTTTAGGACATTCTGTTTTTTGTTTTTATATATACAGAAACATCCTTGCACTCAAGCTATGTTTGGTCCTATAGTGTCAGATATATGTATAATTTTATTATTTTAACCTTTAAATGACCTCTTACCCCTTTGTTTGTATTTAGGGTGAAACTTGTTTTAACAAAATGAGAACATAGAAGGGAAATTTCTGGTACATACGTGAAAGCTTCCTCGAGCTCTAGGTTATATTAACAAACAGAGAATGTTTTTGTCTGAACTTGCAAATTCCTCAGGCAGATTCATACTCTCACAGATTATTTCCAAAGGATTCTTTTATAATGATTACAGTATGGAGTACACCTTAACCTATAGGTTTCTCATTGGGAAATTAGATGCACTGTGAAATTCTGTCTAAAGGGAAAATTTAGATTATAGCATTCTCCAGGAAACTAAAAAATACATTGTTTTATTATGAGACAACGGTGTACAAAATTGAACTAACATAACCTGCTAAAGGGTAATTTTTCAAATTGCTCCAGCTATATTTAATTAGATGATGGGACAATAGAACGGGGGTCTCTTTGCACCATTATATATTCCTTGAGCACAGATTGCTATGACACGTTGCTTCCTTTTGCTACTGATAGTACATCATCTTTATTCAATTAAATAAATAGCAGGACACAAGTGAAATGGTTTAATTATTCAAAATGGCAGCATATTATTTTACACTTAGCTCGTCAAATCTTAGAACATGCACTTAAACTCACATCTATCTGAGCTCTTCCAAGTTTTCCTTTTCTGGAATACTGTCACGTAACCTTATCATCTCCTATTCTCTCTAAATTGCTGTATACTTACTGAAACCTATTATTTTCTAAACTACGTGTCAAACCTTTATTCGTATGAGAACAAAGACACATGACCATGTCGCATTTCAGTGATTGTAAAACCATCGACCATACCAAAAAAGCTTGCTGCCTCACTCTTGAGTATGGCAATATGAAGTCATTATTGTTATGATATGTTCCTGATTTTCTAAATACATTGTATGGCAACTGACAATATAATAGATTCTGCAAAAGTCGAGTCCATCAAGTGTAACCCATCTTCTTTGTTTCTGCTGTTCATCCAAAAGGTTATCTATGAGGATAATGCACAGTTTAAGATTGTAGTTCTTTTCTCAATAAATCTTTACTGCACAAATTATGTTCGAAGAGATACTTTAAGCACAATGGCAAGGGTTATGATGCAAGGAGTCTTATGCAAAGTTCAGTCCTTGAGTTTTGCATTCAAAATCCATACAGCCCCGTCTGGCTGACCTTTGGGTGGGTAAAGAGAACTCCAGCCCAAGACTTTGTGCTGAATGACAAAATTTCAGCTAAAACAGCCTTCTTGTGACTTTAGCTAAGTTAAATAATTTTGACACTATTTATTTTTCCTAAATTATTCCATTCAGACTATAATTCAGTCTAATTTAGAGTTTAGTGATTAACCTTCCCCCACTCCCTTTCTTCCCGTCAACTCGTAAATCTACCTCTCCCATCTTTCCTTATTTGCATCTCTCCATCTACTTGTGCCTTTGCCCCCCAAGTATCCCATTGCATCTCTCTTAACTTGTGTCTCTCACTGACCCCTACCTGGCATGTATCTCCTTTTTCCATCTCTCCCCACTTGTGTGTCTTCTCATATATGCATTTCTATCCCCCTCTCACCAACTTATGTCTCTATAAGAAAGTGGAAAGGTGTGTAGGCGCTACCAAATCAAAAAACACACAGGTGTAGTATAAGTGTATCCCCCAACACTTAAAATAAAGTCTACAATAAAATACAAAAACTACACCAGACAATGAGCAGGAATAGATGTTCTATAACTGGAACAATCTATAAGATAAAAATGCAAAACGTAGTACAGACTGAATACATAATAAAATCTCAGCCCCTATATCGGATAAAACTCACAGGATATAGAGCTGTCCCAGGCTCTATACAAACAGCTCCAGGGTGCCTATACAGGCTGAAGCTATATCCTTGAAGGAGAGCAGCAAGAAACTTGGATAAAAATTAGTTTTATTCAAAATTAGATAAAAATAAGGGACATATAAGCAGTGGTATAAACACAATGGCATATAGCCTTATAAAACACAGCAAAACAGATGAAATAAGTCCCAAAAGATAAAAGATAGCCAGCAAAAACATTTCAACTCCTACTGGAGTCTTCCTCAGTGCTGTCTTGCTCTCTCTGTAATCCAAATAAATACAGCTTCAATTATACTCAAATTCCACCTTGCTGTCTTACTCCCTCTTCCTCTTTCCGGTGCAGTCAACATACGTCATCATGCTGCGTCACTTCCAGGTGGTGTTTGGTGATGTAAAGGCGGAATGGAGAACAGTCCCATACTAACTAAGGGCAAAAATCCTCAAAATACTGCAACAATAACACATAAGAAATAATTACTGAAAGCTGCACAGAATAGAAAAATAAGGTTACCATATATATATACACAATAAGACAAACAAGTAAAAACCTAATATAGCCACAGTAAATCTTTTAAAATGTGGAGGAGAAAAGAGGATAGCCTCAATAGGAAATAATGCATAAAAATAGAAAGCACTACATATAAGAAGTAAATCAATTATTAAAATAAAATAAATAACTTCTATAAAAAAATTTGATGAATTCAAAATCTAGAATAAGCTCTTTAGGGGCTAAATAATCCAGCAGCATAAAAATCCACTTGCTTTCATTTTTGCACAGTTCCTTAAAATTATCCTCTCCTCTGATAACTTGATTTTGCCAATTTTTTGGATTTTCAAAAACATCCATATTGAAATTGTGCAGCCCACACCCATGAGGGATAGGGTATAACAAATAAAAAATAGTGTATGGGTGTCTCTGTCCATTAATTTTGTCTACACTGCTACACTGTCTTTATTTCTTTATTTCCCAATCCCTTTTGTGTCTCTTTAACCCTCTAGGTGTCAGCTACTACGTCTTCACGTATCAAGTAACCGCTATCGGCTGTAGTGGCTATGGTACTTACATCATCTTTTTAAACACTGTTCCCCCATTTATTTCATACATTATGTTGCACTATGTTTCCTTTTACCGTTATTCCAATTTGTTCAGAAATTAGGAAATGATCTAGCCAGCATTGTCACAGGGTAGGTTATCTGCCAACATGCAAAATATTTGGTCTATTAACTTGATATTAGGGTATTTTCTCAACAAATTGTGGTTTTCGTCTGAATCTGCTAGATTCTTAACATGTATGTTTAATTTGTAGTGTCCAATGTGTCACAACATATCAAAGACTATTACTCATACCCAACATCTTACGTAGATCATCTCTGCTTATATTAATCAGGTATTGACATTTTAGTCATGCCAAATATCCCCACACCTATTCAGTGGCTTTAAACTTTTTGACGAAGTCGCTTTCTTTTTCTGACGTATCAAGCCTGAAGCCCAGTTTCAAAACTCACAAAGAATGGTACAAGCTTATCCATACTGTAACAAGTCAAGTAAGCATGACAGGCTTAGTGACTGATTTGTTGAGAACTCCATGCAATGCAGTAACTTTCAATTTATTGTATTCATACTTATTATTTTTTATTTATTGCCTTTGTATATATTCAATGCATTAAAGGGTTACGCTAAACTTTCCAAAGTGGTTATAGTGCAAGGAATTTCCGACTAAAGTAATGCCAGAAGATATTTAGCTTTTCTCAACCTGGGCTTAACATTATATCAATGTTTTGCTGTGATCAACTAAATATAGGAAGTATATACCTGTATATGTAAAAAAAAATTTAATTACAAACTTTATTCATTAATTCTAACAATCAGGGATGAGGGAGGAGAGAGAGAAGGCTCAATGCGAACGGAACAGGATATCTGGCCATTTTATTTTGTTATTATGTTTTTCTTACATCTAAAGTAAATAACAAAAAAAGCATTTTGGATGGCATGCTAATAGTTAAAAATTCTGCCAGAAATATTGCAATAAAAGGCATACTATATAATTTCTAAATATGTATTTCCTCAGTATTTCGCAAAGATTAAATACAAAAATAAAATTGTGTAAATTTACATTTTTAATGTTTATTTTGATGTTTATTTTAAACTGCAATGTATATACAACACTGCAGTTTTACCCTATCTTTAAGTGCCAGAGAAGTATTAAAAGGTTACTCCACCCGCCTGCTTTAGAAGTGGTCATGGTGGTAGGAGCCTATATGTGCAGCATTTACGCTCTACTGAGATATTTGCACTTTTGGGCCAAGCTCTTGTTACAGCCCTGGCACATGTGACTGGGGAAGTCCAGAATTCAATTCTGGGTTACCTAATGTAAATTCTGTGCAAAATTTACATCTGTCGATAGCACGCACAGCTTGGCAATAACTCATGATTCCCTGGGGAGTGATGTAGGCCCTTTGTGTCTGTGACAAACTGCCTTTTGTCACTGCGTTTTTATGTGACCAACTGCCCTTTGCCCCTGGCTTTTGGAGGAGCCTGATGGCCCTGGGGTGTATGGCCCTTTTAAAACTATATGTGGGCATATTGGGACTTTTAAAAGACTGTTTCTGCCCCTTTGATTCCATGAGAGAATGTGCCTCTTCTCCTCCCCCTTTAATACCTATCCCATTGTTCTCCAGCAGGGCGTTGTCCCAGGGACACTGCCAGACCAGTTTAAACTGGCTGCTTTGTCCCTCCTCAATCTCTCATCAGCCCTTGCAAAACTTTATCCTCATTGCAAATTTACTCTGTTTGTGGGATCTGAGCGCTGTTCATCTTTGGGGGTTCTGTGGGGGTTCTGTGTAATATAATAGGAATTATGTATTTTTATGTATTTTACTGTTAGTGTAAAAGGGAGATATTTTCTGTACCTGGAGATAATTGAGTTTAGTGCAGTTCCTTAAGCCAATTATCTCCAGGATAGAGGGGAGGGATTTTACTGTGTATGTGGGAGTGTTATTTTGTTAATTAGTGTTCCCATTGGTTTGTGTCCCTTTTGTCACAGTTTACCACCAGGTCCAAGGGTTGTGCCTCTGGCCTGAAAACTTGCATAAAAGAAAGCCCTTTGGTGCTGATTAAACAGATCATCTTGTACTTTCATGAAGTTTTGGCTCATGTTTGGGGGATTGGAGAACTACACTATGGGGATTGCTATAATCACTTTACTCCCCAGGGCATAATCACTAAGCTCTGCTCAGAGCTTGTTCCTGTTCCTGCTCTCTGGAATTCGGAGAGGTCGACCTACTGGAAGCTGGACCCTGGTCTTGGGTCCAGAGTGGGTGGAGACGGCGAGACCCCAACCAAGCTGCGGCAGTTCGAGGGAGTCTACAGTGGTTATGGTGTCTGGCGGAGTGCTTGGAGTCCTCGGGAAGCACTAGTTGCATACATCAATGGAAGGTACCCGGTCGGGGTGCAAGCGGTTCCGTTACAGTGTCCAGTACCACTACCTTGGTAACAGCAGTGTATCTTGATAGCAGACTCTGCCAAACACTAGAGAAATTACAGAGCAGAGTGTTGAATGTTCATACATATCTTGTGGGCTTCATACTCAGTATAGACATGGACAGTTAACTGTTGGATTCACTCTTCCTCTCTCACAGCTCAGACTTAAAATCCTCACTCTATGAATAGATAGCTTGGACATCCATTGATTTCCCATCAATCTGCTTTATTTGCAGGCCATGTTTTTACATATTTTTGTTTTTATTTGTAATTGTATTGAGGGATTTAATTTAATTTAATTTAATATCATGCAATAAATAAACAACCACAAAAATCCCGTTAGACATTAATTTGAGTAGTGTACTGTTGGCGTGCCTATACTATACTGTACTATAAAAAGACGCAGTGAATCATTGGAACTGTATATTTTATTACCCCACCCTAAATGTTTGTGATAGAACGTGTCTGAATGACCTCACTGAACAATAAAGTTGGAGGCTCAGAATAACCATTTATAAGGACAGCCTCATATGTGTTTCTATCATACAAACACTATACATGCGGTTGCTAAGCACTCTGAACTAATGAATAAGAAATGTTATCATGGTTACTTACTAAGGTAATTAGTACATAAGAAGTGAATTCAAAGTTAATTCAAAGTGAATTTTTAAATTCAGGGTCAAAATAGCCCAAATTGAAAAATTATCTAACACAGCAATACTTCCAGTTTGTCACCTCTGGCGTTAAATTTGAAATTCATTTTGAATTTTCTTTTTAGTAAATAATTCTGTAAGAGTAACATTATGAGTGAGTAGGAAAATAATGCAGGAGGCTATAAGACGAGTTCTGAAGTAGATGTTATCACTAATGAGTTGTGGTTATTTCAATGAACTGTCTAATTTTTAAAATAAGCTGTTAAATAAATAAAATAAGTTTTAAATAATGCTCTGTTGTAATATCTCTTTAGAGGTCCAGAACTGCTCACCATCAACATTATTACTTTTGTTTTTCTTTTTGAATTACTTTAAATTGATGCATTCTGGTGTTGAGTATCCAGGGGGTCTGGAGGGGGCATTAAATAAATAAATAAAAGAAATCGTAAATAAATCCCATTTATACCTTCTTGGAACACATCTATTGATGTTTGATGGCTGAAGAAGAATGAAGGTGTTTTTTATTTTTTTTATTTCACTAAGGCACCTGATATCTTTACTTAGAAAAAATGTCTGAAAGGGATCTGCAGGGATAGCTTGACTTTTCAAGTATAGCTCTATGTATAAACTGGGCACCAAGCATGGTATCTCATACTGGAGCTGATGGCAAAGGTTTCTTTAAAAAAACCACAAGTCCCCTGTGTTTCTTACCTATCAGTACCCTACCATCTCCTGTATCAGACCCCTTTTTACTCACCAATGTCCATTCTATTAGACCAGTCCCCGCTATCACTACACCACCATCTCCTATATCATATAGCCTTTTACTCATCAATGTCCATTATATTAGGCCAGTCCCCTCTACTTGGATATCAATTTGTTAAATTTTTGAGTTTTGTGGGTAGACTCGATAGTACATTCCTTTTTGATGGGGCACTTCAGACAACCATCACAATTTTCATGTATTTTGTAGTTTTTGACCAAAATATTATCTGTATTTTCATATCGTCAGTTTTAAATATCTATTGCAAAAATAAGTTAAAAAAAACAAAAAAACAAAAACAAAATGTATTACAGCATTCTGCATTTTAAGCCTGTCTTCTCTCTTCTCTATTCCTCCACTCTAAAATATTAATTCTTGATTGTCACTGTAGCTTGTACTTATATGTCCAATATAAAAGTATTAGAACAACCAAATTAATTGATATATTTCTTGTCTGGGCACTGCTACCTTGCAGTTTTCAAAAATTATGGCAAATATGGCAACTTCAAATGTATGTTTTTCATTATTTTGAATTGGTTGGTTTTGAATCGATTTTTTAATGCATTATATATGCAATGCGTTGAAAAAGAATGACTCAATTCCCACCTGGAGTAGTCCTTCACATATCTATATTTTGCATGGAACTTGTGTTTCTGAGCAGTGAAATGTGAAAAGGTATGGTGATGTTTATTTTGTAAAGTGTTTTTTGTTATTCTAACACTAATCTACTCCATCGTTTTGCGAAACCACAAAGCTGCCTTTATACTATATACAGAGAGTGGTACACAAAGTATGTCTTGCATTAGTTGAGGACAATGAACAAGAGTCAGTATACAATATTTGCTGTCTACTTAAGAAAAACAAAAACTATTTGCAAAGTGCGTGTTTTGAAATACTGTTTCAAAGTATAGAAACAAAAACAACATAAAATGAATACAGTTGTATTTTAAATAAACTAAAACAAAGTACAAGGAACTCCGTCACTTTGAACAAGTGTTTTCTGCCGCTATGGAAACAAAGAAAGCCTTTAAACTCTATCTCATATTTATTTTTGTTGCATGACTAATGTTTAACTTTAATGTGATGTGCGGAAAAATATGATAGGAACAAGAAATGGCATTAAAATTACAATTTCTCAGGATGGATTGGCATTAAAGAAATTCTTCAGTCATGGCTGACATGCTTGCTCTAACACTCTACTGACATTAGAGGCTTTTTAGGGATGTTGAAAGCACATTACCCATCATTTTAGATTAAAAATCATGCTTATTGAATATAACCAGATCTTCATGTATGTTATATACTTTCACCTAGCACCTAACCTCAAGATGAACATTGGCAAGGGAGTTAGGAGAAATTGTCCTCTGAACCACTAGCATACAAGGATTGTGGGCTGCATCCTCACTACATCTCTGTCAGTACTCCTTCATGCAGATCATTCTTACTAATGTTCGGGACCGGTGACGACTGCTAGGCAGAAATAGATGAAAAATGAAAAGTAAAAAAAAAAAAGACAGAGTAGGAAAGGTAAGTACGTTGTGACAGTGCCGCTTTAAAAGCTATAAGGCTAATTAGTGATTTCAAGTCTACAATCTACATAGCATCACATATTATTAATGTTATGAATAAAATATTTTAGATGTAACAATTATAATTTGCATGCATAATTGTAAACGATACATTATTTTAAGTAGACTGACATGAATTAAACAAACTGTATTTAATATAATAGATCAATTTGATAATAACACAAAGCTGTTGAATATTTAAATGTCTATATATAACTTTTCAAAAATAATTTTCAGTCCTAGTAGAAGCCACAGAGAGTTCAATGTTTACATTTATTTCTCAGCATAGCAATAGGATCCTTCATTTTACAATGTGAAATCCAGTGACAATCAGAAAGTCTCAGAGGTTACTAAACTCTTACCTGATTAGAAAATCTATGTGCTCTTGGTAATCTTAAATTTCCATAGTGCAGATTAAACAGTCTTCTAACTGTTTAAACAGAAAGATAAAACACTTGATCAGTGGACATTTAAAGGTGTAATAAAGCCATTTTTGAAAATTAATCTCTGGGATCAGTGATGCAAAACACGATTTGCTTCATCACCTTGGGGTTTTGAATAACGAACACTGTTTGACAAAGAAATATTTTTACAGTCCTCATCTCTCTAAGTTGAGATATATATATGAGATATATATAATTGGATGCGAGAAAAAGTTACAATAATATTATTATACATTGTTCATCGTGCCTGGAAGATAAATTTGAAGATATGAAGATTGTAACCCTTTCTTTATAACAAAGAAAAATATGAAAATGTGTCATTTAGAACGTAGAGAGTCTTTGTACATACCAATTATTAATGTACATATAATGATGGAGAATTAAATTCTAAACATTATAGTCTAAGAGATGTTTTGAAAACTTTACATACATATGTATTTTTATGGAGAATAAAGTTTGTTTTAATATTTATAAACTGTGTTACACAAATTAGGATCATTCTAATTACTAACGTATTTATTTAATAATTTGTATATTAAGAATTTTACCTAGGTCTCTGTGTGGAGCGAACCTTCCGTTAATGGGTTTGCTCATTTTAATGAATATGCTTTTTTATATGACACACACATACTAAACTAAAACATGAGATTTCATAGATGAGATTATGAAATGTTAGAAGGCACATTAATGTACAGTGTCTAACATTAAATGTTGTGTGGGGAGGGGGGTTATAATTTACACAGCATAGCTAACCCTTAGACATTTCAAAGCATTTTAGTATTGTGACACAAATAGTTAAACAAAATCAAACATTTTTTATTTTTTTTTTACGATGAGATAAATATGCATTACAATTCTTTCTGTGGGATAGGCTTGATAGTTTGTGATTTTCAATAGACTCGCTGATTTCCATTTTTATCTATAATCATGTCAATCCTGTGTATAATTGGAACTTGTACAATGTGTTCAAGTTCTTAGCTGTGCGACAATGCCTGGCATGCTGTATGACAGCTTAGATGTATGTACATGGTTGGTTGGTATGCCTTCAAAGGAACACATTAACAATATATATGTGTATATTGATAATGTATTTCTTAAGCTATTTAAAATACAAATCCCACTTGTTTTTAAAATTGTTATTAAAGGATCACTATAGGGTCAGGAACACAAACATATATTCCTGACTCTATAGTGTTAACACCACCATCTAGCCCCCCTGGGCCCCTCATGCCTCCATAAATATAGTAAAAATCTTACTGTATTCAAGCCTGAAGCTGTAAATCTGTGTGCTGTTAGACTCAGAAAAACAAGCAGTCTGCTGACATGTGGTAGCCTGATCCAATCACAATGCTTCCCCATAGGATTGGCTGCGACTGACAAAGAGGCAGATCAGGGGCAGAGCCAGTACAATTCAAACACAGCCCTGGCCAATCAGCATCTCCTCATAGAGATGAATTGAATTAATGAATCTCTATGAGGAAAGTTCAGTGCCTACATGCAGAGGGAGGAGATACTGAATCACAGGATGCTGTGCACAGTGCTGTGCTGTACTCTGCTGACAGCAGATCTGAGTGTATGGAGGCATATTATGCCTCCATCAACTCCGAAGTCCCTCTGGTTCACTCTAAGTGACTGCAACTGGAGTGTTCCTAGCTTTCAATGTAAACACTGTATTTTCTCAGAAAATACAGTGTTTACATGAGAAAGGCTGCAGGGAGCTATAGTTCTCACCTGAACAACCTCATTAAGCTGAAGTTGTTCAGGTGACTATAGTTTCCCTTTAAAGTTAACTTTGTTCAAGTACTGGGACACTCACCTTACTATATTCCAATCCAACTCCAGTAAAGTCTTTCAGCCATGATGATATTTGGCCATGAATATGCTTCTGATAGGGAAGTACTGAAAACACGCTTCGCATGCATGGCAATCGCTGTGCTCTGCCAAATCATTGTTTCTACTAGAAAGGCATTGGACACACAATGTCCGGCATTTGCATATGTTGCATGATGACACTGGATTCCAAATAGATTCAGTAATGTAATCTATGTATGTCCTATCTACCGTCTGGTAGTTACTAGACGGTGAGGAAATAGCAAAATATTGATGGTGCAATCTCTGAGATATACCGATATTTACAAAAGCAAAGCTGTCTAGGAAGATCTGTGCTTAAGAACTAAGATGAAGAGATTTTGGTGTGTAAGCAGTACCTTTAAAGGAACACTATAGAGTTAGGAATACAAACTTGGATTCCTAACGCCATGGTTTCCCTGCCCCTATTTTATGGGATCTCCTTCCTCCTGATAGGTAAAGAGTTAAAACCCCTTTTTTACTTACCTTTATTCTTGTTCTCCTCCTCCTGTGATGTCAGGCTGATTGGGGAACTAAGCTCTAGAAAATCTATGTACATATGGGAATCTTACAATTCCATAGTGGAGATTAAGCGTCTGCTAACTGTTTAAACAGAAAGATAGATAGAAAGATCAGTGGATATTTAAAGGTGTAATGAAGCCATTTAAAAAAAAAATTAGTCTCTGGGATCAGTGATGCAAAATACGAATTGCTTCAACACCTAAGGAATTTGAATAACGAACACTTTGTAATAGTCACCTGGGGACTTATGTAACCGTTTACCAGGAGTTGGAGCCCAGTTGCAGGAGATGGCACAGGTTGGAGGCAAAGACCAGAAGCGCAGTACAGATTAAGGGGAAATCCAAAGGCAGGGTCAGACGAGAAGCAGAAGTCAAGGCTGGCAGCGGAGTAACAAAGTCAGTAAAGCAGGTCAGAGTCCAGGAAATCCATCAGTAGTGTAGCAAAGATCCATCAGGAAACACCAAACAGGCAAAATGACCAGATACTAGGTTTCAGGCAGGGCTGGCTTTTACAGCCTGCTAATTAGGTGCAGCTGCAGGGCCGGACCGGGGACACGAAGCAGCCCTGGAAATATATATATATACACACACACACACACACACACACATATCTATATATACAACGGGGTGTGTGTGCGTGTGTATATATATATATATATATATATATATATATATATTTATTATTGGAATATTTCTTTTTCAATTAAAAATATTAGTCCTTTTAGGGTAATTAAATTATATAGTAAAGCATACTCACATGCAGACACAGACAATCTTACTGACACACACACATAGGTTAATTGACAGACAATCTCAATGACACACACAGACAAGGTTACTAGTACACAAACAAATTTAGTACAGACAAACTCTGATACACAGACAAGCTCACCACACACACATGCTCACCAGAGACAGGAGCAGACACACCCATGCTCCCTACAGACAAGCTTACTAACACACACACACGATCCCTACAGACAAGCTTACTGACACACATACAAGCTCACTCACTAGCAGGCACACACACAAACTCACTAGCAGGTGCACACACACACACAGAAGCTCCCTCACTAGCAGTGGCTATAGTGCCAGTAGTGCCCTGGTGCCCTCCAATGTTTTGTCTCATTACCTGGGATTCACAAGGTGCCACTTAAGCTCTCTGTCTGTGCTCTGTCAAATACAGTGGGGGCAGGGAATGGTGCTCTGCGACCCAAGTTAAGAAGTCAATTGTACTTAAACTGTTTGACTACTTACATCAGAGTGTGGGAAACAAGTCACTGCTGGTACCATAACCACTACAGTGTGCAATAGTGGTTATGGTGCTTGGAGTATTTCTGTAATATATAAATCAAAATTTACTCAATATCTAATGCATTTATTCAAAATGCCTCTGTTTAAATATTAAACTACTAAAATGGCCATCAGAGGCTCACATGTATTTTGACCCTAATTTGTGTGTGACAACTGAATTATTTATGTATTTTTCACCTGTACAAGTGCCGTCAGTTACAGGCATCTGTGTTACTGTAATACAGAGATTTGTTAGATTGCCTACCTGAAGAGAGTCTTTTCATATTTGGGGACTACTTAGTCCCTTTGAAGTTAAATTAAATATTTTTTCAAAGTAAATGCAAAAGAGTACTCTGTAATGGAAACAAATGGAAGCAAATGAATGTGCATTATGAAACTGTCAGTGCACTCTTCTGATGCATTCCCTAAATACGTGCTTAAAAGGAATCCTTAAAATGGCACACAATAAACCGAACCTGCTCAACCACTACACACCCGGGCTGTTAAACAGGTTAACTATTATATTGTTTGCAGAATAAAATCACTAATCTCCACACATGGAAAATACACAGGAAACTACCTTGCATTGCTTTTGAGCAAGACAAAAGGAATGTACTCTCTCTGTCCTAGTTTTAAATGCACAGTTAATGTTGTTTGTCGAGATACCAGTGGCAGAACTAAAAAAGATAGGACCCGGATGCAAAAAAAAATAAAAAATAAAATTATGATATGATTAATTGTATATTGTTTGAAAGCAGAGCATGATTGATGTGTAGTGCTGGAGTTTGAATGCAGTGTTATGTTTTTTGTAGTGTTGTTATTTGAATGCAGTGGTGTTTTTCTGTGTAGTGTAGGTATTTGAATGCAGTGGTGTTTTTATGTGTAAATGCAGTGGTGTGTTTGTGTGTCATGTTGGGGTTTGCATGCAGGAATGCAGATCTTCAAACACTGACAAACAGTATCAGTGGAGGTGGGTCTTTGTCATTTCTAAGTACAAGAACAATCTGGAGACTGATACAGGGAAAACCCAACATGTTTGTTTCTATTTGGTCCTTCAAATAAATTGTGCACTTTTGGCATCTAGTGGTGCTGCCTTTAGTTTTTTATTGTTTGTACTTAACACTGACACATTCACAGATTCACAAACTGACAAACATGTACAGGTCCACACTTTGATGCACATGCACAGGTATACATATACATATTGCATAGATCCAGACACTCTCAGAATGGCACATATACAGATACACAGAAAAACTGACTGACATTGCATACACTGACACACAGGATGGGAGACAGGGGGCAGAGCTAAACGCTGCCCTTCCCAATCAGCATCTCATCATAGATATGCATTCAATCAGAGGGGAAAGCATTGGGACACTGAATGTCAATGCTACACACTGTGCAGCACTGACCCACAAGGCATGGAGACGCTTACTGTCAATGCTGTACACCCAGGTAGAGCCTCTAGTGGCCGAGTGAGGAGTGGCCACTTGAGGTGTTCATAGGCTGTAATGTAAATACTTCCTTTCACTAAAAAGGCAGCGTTTACATTAAAAAGCCTGCAGGGACTGACAATACTCACCAGAACAACTATGTTAAGCTGGATGTTCTGATGACTAAAGTGTCCTTTATACATTAACACACCATGGAACTCATTTGACCCTACAAATCCCATAAAGATAGCAGTAGAGATGATTATTCCTTAAATATAATGGTGGGAAATATGCCAAACTGTGTTAAGGTATTAAAAATAAACCTCTGGTCATTAAAAAACCCTATCTTACAAATTAAGCTTTTATTGTGTTAGAGAAACATCATTTGCATGAAAATCACTTGAGTGCATTGATAGTAGATAGACCTGATTAGTTGAAGATTAGATCAGTTGATTAATTTAAAATGTTCATGTTTTTAATTATGCCTTAATCTCTCAAGAGACGCAGGGAGCTTTCCATAGGAAATGTATGTACATTTTTATAGATATGATCATGATTAAAGGAGCAAATTGTTCAAAATTTTAATGAAATACAGGCGAGAAGAATTGTTTAGTTCCATGATGCATTTATCATTTTATTATTTGTTCCTCTTTATTTTAAACACATTGTTTTTCACCTTATACATATACATGTAAACACACTTACCTGCTGATTCACTACAGTTATAGTTACTTTTTCCTATTTTTAGTTCTTATTGTCGAATTCAGTAAATTAATTCTTTGTCATCTTCAATGGGTATGAATCCACCAAAAATAGACCTCTAAGAGTTTTCAAGGAAGTTAGGAAGTTAATGATTCTTTTCAAGCAATTTTTAGTGAACTTTTTTAAAATACGTTTTCAAACAATAACAAGGAAAAGAAGAACAAGAGTTTTTTTAGAATGGTTAATGTGAATAATGTTGAAATTTGGCACCCGTCGTTAACACACAAAGCATGCTTGTGGCAGACAGTTAAAGGTCAGCACCCACCTCCAAGCTGCCCTGTCCTCCTCTTAGTCGTCCTCCCCTACATCACATCCCCGGCAGATAAGTGAAGTGACATTAGTGGACGGGGATTGGGCTGAGGGAAGAACTTGGCTTTGGTGTTTTAATAGAGGTACATTAATGCTTTATTTATTTATTTTTTTATTTTTCTTTGACCAGGGATACCAGAACAGCAAGGATTACTCTAACCAGAAGCAGTGATTTCTTAAAACACTGTTTTTTGGATGGATTAATCCTTTAAAAATGTCTTTGATCTATAATTCCCTTAGATATATATAAAACTTTATCTATTGAATGTCCTTATGAACAAATATATTTATGAGTTAAGTAGTCATTAACATAGTTTTGTAGGTTCTGACTCATGTCTGACTTTGCAAAAACTGCACTGCACTAATGTCAATACATGGTTGCCTTCAGATCTTCCTTGTCAGCTTTCCTATAATTTGTAGCACTCGAGAGTTCTCAGGTTCATAGCTTTTCTAACACAATTATATACCAAGAACATGAAAAGAAGTTTTTATCTATATAATTACACTGATCAGCTACAACATTGAAACCAGCTGCCTAGTATCGTGTAGGTCCCCCTTGTGCTGCCAAAACAGTTCTAATGTATCAAGGCATGGACTCCACAAGACCTCCGAATGCTTCCTTTGGTATCTGGCACCAACACTTTTGCAGAAGATCCTTTAAGTCCTGCAAGTAGTGAGGTGGGGCCTCCAAGGATCCGATTGGTTATTCCAGCACATCCCACAGTTGGGGAATTTGGAGGCCAAGGCAACACCTTGAACTCTTTGTTATGTTCCTCAAACCATTCCTGAACAATTATCCACCAGTGTGGGATAGTGGATTATCCTTCTAAAAGAGGTGCCACCAGAGAGCATAAAGGGGTGTATGTGGTCTGCAACTATCTCTTGGAAGGTGATATGTTTCAAAGTAACATCCTCATGAATGCCAGGAAGGTTTTCCAGCAGAACATTGTCCAGACTTTTCTAAAGATCAAATAAATCAAATTAATCTCATAAAGAACTCAGATTTCTTCCTAACTTCAGCCACACCAAGGACATTGGTGATTCTCCCACACTTGTGGATAATAGTCCGGAGATGTTTGCCAGGTCATATCCACTCTAGCTGCTGATTTCCTGCATTTACTATTATCTGTGGTGCAAGCTACTTTTTTGTTGGGTTGTTGTTCTGATTAGTCATTATTATCATCATTGCGCTGTGATACTTTGTTTGACAATGTTTTGATTTAGTCAGTCTGCTTTAGCTGTGTATCATGGCCAGTATCTAGGTGCAACATTAGTACTGCTGTAACTGCTCTCTTAAGTCAGAGTAATGCAGTGTCTAGCAATTGTAACATGGTTAGTGTCGTCTAGTACTCATTAAGCAAGATATTCTACTCATCTACAGTATTTTAGGATTTAAAATTGTGCAGATGTTTCGACATGTATAACACATTTTCTTTTATATCTTTTCTCTATATGTCATGGTTACATGTTAAAAACAGTTTGTGATATTACCATTGCACTACAAAAATACAACAGTTTTTTCTATTGTTGAAGGAATCAATTGTCTTTATTTTTTACTTTCAATAGCGTCATCATGATATTATTATTTTTTAGTATTCAATAATTTTCTAACCATTTCCTTCCTTATTTTATTAATCATTGTATTATTACTGTCTAAATTTGCATGCTACAGCCATTTCTGTAGAGAGACCAATACCTTTTGTTGTGTGAAATAGTGGATCATCGACGTATGAGACATGATGACTGTCTGCTGTAGGTCTCCCAAACATTTATTACCGATAATAAATTATGTTGCTACTTCAACTCCAGTCAGAGATGATGTTGCAAGCAAGGGGCGAGTGCCCCCTGAGTTTAGAACACTTTGAGTAGGGAATATTTTTTTACTTAATATAGTAATTGCCGAGCATAACAAGATTGCCTGTTTACGGCCATAGTCAGAGTGCCTATGCCTAATTAGAGGGACCAGGCTTTGTAGAATGCATAAAGCATTTGGCAAGGCCTTTGTTATCCTAGTTATTTGTTATTAACTTTTTTCTGCTTGGAATATCCCTAACCTAAATTCCACATATCACAAAAAAAATCTGTATATTCTGTTATAAACTAAAACAGATAAATATTCAGTAAACAGTCAAGATGTCAGTAGCAATAGTCTTTTATGGGCAGGGTGACTACATGGCAGGCAATATAAATAGCCATAAACATATGGAATCTTGAGGTAAGAGTCCAAGTTAGCTCTAAATGGGCCTAAATAAAATTTAATTATTACCTGAAGTAATTGATGACAATGTGAGTTGCCACTTTGGTTCACTAAAGCTAACTCTTTGAAGGTAAAAACAGAGTATGGCTTACATTTTTAGATTTACGGGCACCTACTCTGATCCCATGCCACACTGGGCTCACTGCAGCTCTCCCGCTGGTAAGATCATCAGTAATGAGTCTACAGTGAAGCATTAGGGGGCCTATTGCACATGTATGCGAATTGCCATGATGATCAGAATCCCATCTTAGAAAGCCATTACTGATGCATCTCAATGGGGAGAACTGAGATTCTTCATACAGAGCTTGAAGATACTGAATGTCAGTTGCAAAGATTGCAGGATCCTAAAAGGAAGCACCTCTAATGGTCATCTGAATGATGTTTCCTTAGGGACAAATTGACAGTAAAGGCAGTGTTTTCAGATCACAGACTGCAGGGACAGGTTCTTTATATCAATCAAGCTGTAGTAGTTTTGGTACTTAATATTATTTGCAGATAATGTTCATTAATCAATACATGACTGGCGCTTTGACAATTTACTTTTTACTTGGTTTAGAAGGCTTAATGCATACTTATACTCTATCTATCAATCTATCTATCTATCTATCATCTATTATTATTATTATTATCATTATCATTATTATTGCCATTTATATAGCGCCAACAGATTCCGTAGCGCTTTACTATATTATAAGAGGGGGGGATTTAGCTGTAAATAGGACAATTACAGGAAAACTTACAGGAACAATAGTTTGAAGAGGACCCTGCTCAAATGAGCTTACTATCTATCTATCTATCTTTTATATTACTGCATTGAAAGATAGAAGATGTTGTTTAGCATGTTTGCCAGTTAAAAATCAGATGAATATAATGATGTTTCCTACATATTGCCAGTCATACAGTTTCAGAGTCTATATATCTCTCACCTTTCTCAACAAATAAAGTTTTATTTCACTGATTCACTGCTAAAAACACTGTAGGTACACCCACATTGCAAACACCGAAACCAGTCAATTGTTTGCTTTCAAGACGGTAAATAAAGTAACTGAATTTAATTTTTATTATCCTTGCAGCACAACATATAACAGTCTTATCGAGGAAGCATCAAAGATGGAAAAGATAAAGTTCAGATATGTTGTCCAGATTTATGGCATTTGCCGCAATCCTGTTGGGATTGTGATGGAGTTTATGGAAAATGGGTCTCTTGAAAAACTACTACCATCTCATAGCCTAAGTTGGCATTTGAAATTTCGTTTTATCCATGAGATAGCTTTGGGAATGAACTTTCTCCATATGATGAATCCTCCACTTCTCCATCTGGACCTAAAACCTGGAAATATTCTTCTTGATGAACATTTACATGTAAAGGTTTGTTCTACCTTCCTGCTTTACATTAGAACATTGTTTTGTTCCTCTCTGAATTTGTTAGATCTAGTCATCTTCATGTGACAAATAACTGAAAAACAAATATACCCAGACCCTAACACTCTTGCAGACCTTGACACTGTTTTTTTACTGGACTCTTCTTTCCTTGTCCCCTCTCTCTCTGTCTTTTCACCCCTACAGTTTTTCTTGCTAACATTCTCCTCTCCCCTTCTTCATGGTCTCCTTCTTGTATATTCTTCCCATTCTATCCGTTCTCCTCATCCCCTTACTTTTTAGCCACTTTTAGAGCATATACCTCTCCACAGACAATGGGCTTCCCCTGGGTTAGGTGCTTCTTTCCTTATTCATCATCATTACATCACATCTGGTCCTGTGGAAAGTCTTACATCATTAGGTGTGTCCATTGTCCTTCCTATCCCAGTCTTCCCCTTACCCAGTTTCTTCATCTGGTGACTTTGAATGAGTCTTGTGCAAGAACATTTCCTTGACCCATGCATGATCCTGTAAGATTACAAATGAGTAATTAATGATTTTGCTATTATATTTAATTGTAAACTCACCTACACCAGGTGTGTTTTTCTTAGTTATTGTTGAGTGTGGTTTGATTTGCTTTCTTTGTATTTGTTTTACATTTTCTTACGATATTCTAGTTCAAATATAAAAAAATAAAGAATGAAAAAAATAGAGATATACTTTGTAAGATACACTACATTTTAATAATTATTGAAAAAAAGGGTTCAACTCAAGTTACTCTTTTTTAGTCTGGCTGCAACATTCTATACATATAGATGTTTTGACTAGTTGTGATAATACAAAGTATGGAAATTGTGCAAAGTTCTTCAGACATTTTGTGCTGTACCTTATTTATGAATTTATTTTTGTGCCTATATATCGAATATGGAAGAATCCAATGTTTCTCTTTTATATTTGATGTTGAGCACCATACATTTTGAATCTGGATATCCATAATATAATTTGCAGTAGATGTAGACAAAGCATGACAAATGCACACAAGGTTTGGAACACCTGATTTCATGCATGAGACACATGACAGTTGTTTTAAAACATTTAGATCTGGATTGTAATATACATATGTCTGCAGTAACAGTCCTGGTCAACCAGATAGTGTTCCCAAATTAATTATATTTGAGACATTGAGGCACAAGGAGACATGGGTTTGAAATTGTATTCTATACCTATCATACACAACTTAGTTGTCCAGGTTTTATCGCTATCATCATTAAAGGACCACTAAAGTCACCCAGACCACTTCATCTCAATAAAGTGGTCTTGGTACAGTGGTTTTTTAGTTTTAACCCTGCAATGTAAACATTTTTATTAACAAAATGCAATGTTTACATTACAGGGTTAAATCCACCTCTAGTGGCTTTCTACTGGACAGCCACTAGAGGCACTACTGCTCTGACTGAGTAGAACTCAGTTACATCATGCAGAAGCTCATAGGAAAACAATGGATTAAATGCGTTCATCTTAAAAGCACTGGATGCATGTAAAGGTGCAGACCTGAGAAGTGCCAAGGGCATCTCAATGTTAGAAATAGCTGAGCATAATTTATTTCATTAATTGTAATTAAAAAAGGGGGGTTGGGCTATACATAACTATGTACAGGGGCACTATAGCATTAGGAATACAGGTTTGTATCTATTATATCATATTTAATAAATTATAATATAATATTAGTGACATAAACATCTGTTGTAAAATATTTACAGAGCTTCATGATTGGCACTTCAATGTCAATATCTTTTATATTTTTCATAGTCTTTTATCAAGATAATACCAATAAATTACATAGTTTAAATTTACTGCGTATGCCCCATGTATTATTTCTTCAACCATTTCTTCAGAAATATAATATGCTGTCATACATAGTCTGGCAAGTGAAATGTATGCTTGAATAGTGTCTCTGACGGCCTCTCTGCTGTTTCTAACTGGATGGCTGCCCACTTCCTTAAACTAAACTTGACCAAAACTGAAATTCTGGTCTTTCCTCCCTCAAGTGTTGTTACTCCTGTGTCTGTCTCCCTCCAAGTCAATGGTGCTACCATCAGCTCCACCACGCAGGCTCGCTGCCTAGGTGTTCTCTTTGACTCCGACCTCTCCTTCAAGCCTCATGTTCAATCTATCGCCAAATCCTGTCATTTCCATCTCAAAAACATTGCGCGCATCCGCCCCTACTTAACGCCAGATGCGACTAAGGTGTTGGTCCACTCCACTGTCCTTTCTCGTCTTAACTACTGTAATCCGCTTCTCAGTGGTCTTACATGCTCCCAACTTGCGCCGTTACAGTCCATAATGAATGCCGCGGCGAGGCTCATCTTCCTGTCCGCCCGCACCTCCCTTAACTATCCTTACCTTTTTGTGTAATTTTACCCCACTCCCTCTAGCATGTAAGCTCATTGAGCAGGGCCCTCAACCCCTCTGTTCCTGTGTGTCCAACTTGTCTGGTTACAACTACATGTCTATTCGCTCACCCATTGTAAAGCGTTGCGTAATTTGACTGCGCTCTATAAATAGCAAAATAATAATATTTTGATTAGATATCAATTAATGTAAAGATACATGGCCTAGTCTTGCATCCTTTGAGAAAATTGTTACTACGTTTGAAATAAAAAAGTTAAAGTAATGTGCAAATGATTCGCTTAATTGTATCAAGACAAAAAAAATTGCATGAATATAATGCCACGTATTCTACAAAATTTTTAATCTCTAACAAGTTTCGGTAGAAGATAAAAGGGTAAATGAACAATACAATTTTGCATTAAATTCTACAATGTCTTTCAAAGTATACCTAAACAGAAATCTACACACTAATTACGTCGTTAACAGGTGAATCCTCTCCTTTTACTACAGATCTATAAAATTTTACTGTAACTTAACCTCTTAACAGATGAGAATAGCTTATTGCAAAATCATAGATTGCCTTCATATGTGACATTGATGGATGAAGAGAGAGTGGAACAAAACGGGCTAGATGCAGAATGAATGTGCTTTTTCTTTGAGTCACATTCCTGCAATTTTAGGAGGTACACAATATAGAATTCACAAATTGTATTGTGCTTAGAAAACAACAGATACTTCATTCAACCTCTTATGACATGTTGTTGGATCTCCAAGAGGGAGCTTTATTTATAATAGCTTTCTATTCTGTCTTAAGACGTTTGACAGGTTTAGCCAATGTTATCTATGTACTACTATTGTAGCTTATTTAGACAAAAGGAATCTTTCTACATGATGAGAACTTCATATAAATAACAGGAATGCAGACAAAGTGTCACTAACTGTAAGGACATTTTCAATTTAATTAAAAGCACTTGTTAAAAAAGGGGTGAAGTTTAAAGCCAAATTGAATTCCAGGGAGAAGATGTTTGATATTTAATTTCGCAGTCATGTTATGAAGTCTGTTAAAAATGTTTGACACTACAGAAATCCAAGGGTTAGCCAGAGCATATACAGAGGCTATTTTGAAATTCTCAGATGATACTTAAATACCTGATTAAAAAGTATTTTGTCTCTTTTCAAAGCACTTGAAAAGAAGGATGATTGGAAAGGTTAGGATGGCAAAACCTGCAATGGAATTCACCTTTATGCTATAAAAAACAAATGAAGATAATGAATCTCATAGAATCAAAAGTAGAATCTGTTCATTATCGACTAAAGCAGTAAAATAGCCTTGGTCCAAATAACAGCTACAGATTGCTACATTTACCTTCACACTTTTGAGACTCTAACAGAGAAGAATTTCAGTTGTAGATAGGACTATTAGCTTCTGCTGGCTTCACTGTAATTAGATAGCTGTGCTTAATGTTCACAAAGTAAAGAAATCAGATAATCTTACTAAAAGTGTGTAAAATATCAAGATAGGAAGGAAATCAAAATCATCCTAATTAAAGATACAATCTAAGCACCATAACCATCACAGCCCATTATAGTGGTTAAAGTGGTAGCAGTCTTAGTTTTTCTAAAATTGTGGACCTTCTGGGCAGACTCTTGATTGCCGTATTGCTACTTCAGAAGTTCCAGTTTGCATGGTCAGTTTATTTCAGTTTGGAAAGCATTGATTGGTTGAATGTTTCACCTTATGCTCTCAATGAGGGACATGTATTTTTGGAAGAAATTGAGAATGCTAATGTAGAATGTAACTTACACGTTAGTAATATTATGGCAATTGATGGACGGAGCTGCTGGTTCCTGAAGGGGCCTAAGTTTGTGTCGAAATGTTTTTTTTTTTATAGTTCTGGGGTGCAGTGCCAAAAGTAGGCTAGCACCATGCATCAGGCTGAACGGGTTGTGAAGTTAGAATGACCTATAAGTGGTAAAAACATTATTAAAAAATGACTAAGTGGTGGAATAGCTACTTTTTAATGACTATAGAAACATGCAGTGGCACCTCTAGGTTGTAGATCAAAAACTAATCTTCAACATCTACAGCATTTTTAAAAACAATACGTCGCCCCAAGTTGGCTTCTGTGACTGTAGGTGTCTGTTGAAGGACTTGTGAAAAAAGTACATTTTTTCTTTGATGTATATTTTATTTGAAACTCTATTTTATCTATAATAAATAATAATTGAAAAACTGATAATCATGAATACATGAGTTCAGGCTTGATAATTATAACTATCAAAACTCGATAGGCTACATGTTGAGTAAACATTACATTATCCTTTCACTAACCAAGTGTTTTTAGTATCTGCAAAAACATACCCAAATCACGAACCGAACCATGTAATTGCCGAACATCTTCGTTTTGAGTTATGATTCTGAATTCCACACGTGGGGTTATAAAAATAGATGATTGATGGCTACATTTTGATTTTATTCACATATATAGCGAGAAATAGTCAATAGAGGGACAAATAACGTGCAGTAAAAAATTTAGTATTAAAAAACAAAACAATTATTGTGGCTTAAATTTCTGCAACCTGAAAAAAATGTTCTAATTGTGATACAAATGGTTTGAACAAGCCACATTGCCTTGCTTACCTAGTAAATTCAATTACAATTAAAAATCTACAAGCATATGGACACTGCACTTCCTTGACTAATAATGACTAATGTCATCTGACTGTGTTTATAACAAATAAAAATAGTTGTGCCAGTTACTGGCATTTTTGTGTATTATGACTTTCAATACAATGGCCCAGTGAAATTATTAATGCATTTTTTTTATATAATTGTTTTCTTTCTTTTTAAATTGTGAGTGTTTACTTGTAATATGGAGCAGAGCACAAATATAGCATATTTGTTGCTGCATTAACTATTTTTTTCTAGCCATTTTGAATTTGTGCCCTATCATGTTTTTTTTTTTATGTTTGCCGCATGACATGTGACTTTCTTTTTGCCTCATGTCAAGTCACAAAACATAATAAGCATTTCCGCATCACATACATAATAACAATGTTACATAATAACATACCTTTTAACCTTATTTATCTACTAACTTATTGTTGGTTAACCTTTTTTCTAATCCAACAATGCTTGTCTTCCCTAATTGCAGGGGGATATGCTAGAAGCAGAACAAAATGTGATCATGACTCTTTAAACCTCAGACAGTTTACTATGTGCTGTAACTAATTTCACGATCCCCACATAAATTAAAAATACATTAAGGAGGTCCAAATACAGCCTGCTAAAATACCAAATAGTTTACAGGAACAAAATTAATTATGCAAGGTTAAAAAATATTAAAATATACAGACATTTTGAAAGATCTGTAGTGTTAGTGTAATAATCATATAACCACCAGGTTCAGTTAAGAGTTTCATTGATCATGCAAGCAACTATTATCCCAGCGAGACCTTATAAATAAAGTCTAATGTGGAAAGAAAAGCAAGGATTTTATGCATGGAAAAAGGAAAAATTATACATTCAGAATTTTTTCTAATATGGTCATTATTCTTACAATTTAAATTTGAACTACCGTTAAAAGTTAAAAAAAAATGTCACCTGGATGTTTGCCTTTGCACTAAACACTACAACTGAGCTTGTCGGAAGTCAAGAGTTAACGTGATCAGGCCTATAACCCCCCCACCCCCTCCTACCCGGCACTGTTGATAACTTGTGAAGTTAGCACACCAGTACTGCTCATTCTTAAGAAATCAACTTCAAAACTTTGCTTCTACATCTCATAAGAAGAAAGGTCAGCATTCATCTACAGAGTCAGACATGGGAAATCTTACGAAGGAAAGCAAAATTATGCAGTATAATCCACCTATTAACTGATCTCATTGTGTTTACTAGAACAGTTTGTTAGCAGGTTATAATGTTTGATGATAAATTAGAGATATTCTACAATCAAGAGAATTGCGAGGGTATCAGTAGGCATTCCACCCATCTTGTAGTATGATAATCTATTGCATGGCTTTTTGAATGTAACTAATGCACATTTTTTGAAAACAGCACATTACATTCATGTGTATATTGGAAATTATGTTTAAAGGGACACAGCCACCAAAACAACTTTAGCTTAATGAAGCAGTTTTTGTTTATAGATCACTGCTTAATTCGCTGCCGTTTAGTAGTCAAATCACTTTGTTTATGAACCCTAGTCACACCTCCCTGCATGTGACTTGCACAGCCTTCATAAACACTTCCTGTAAAGAGTCATCTAAAGTTTATCCTTCCTTTATTGCAAGTTCTGTTTAATTTAGATTTTCTTACTCATTGCTATGGTAATAGCTTGCTAGACCCTTCAAGAATCTCCTGTATGTGATTAAAGTTCAATTTACAGAAAAAGAGATACAATTACATCTGATTGAAAGTGAAACCAGTTTTTTCATGCAGGCTGTGTCAGGGGATGTGTGACAAGAGCTGCATAAACAGAAACAAAGTGAATTAAACAGTGAAACCTGAGAAGCATGATCTATACGCTAAAACAACTTAATTTAGCTAATGTTGTTAAGGTTAAGGTTAATTTCCTTTTCCTTTTTTAAATTCTTCTTTCCATCTTTGTTCCAGATTTCTGACTTTGGACTCTCCAAGTGGAAAGAACATTCTACCCATAAAGAATACATAGAAAAATCTGCCATAAAAGGGACCCTAAGCTACATTCCTCCCGAAATGTTATTGCAGAGTATAAATGCTACAGGAATCAAATATGATGTTTACAGGTATAGAGTATTTTATTACAGATAGTGATGGCAATATTTTACAATTTACCTACTAAATACCAGGGGAACCAGAATCAGTGCTTGTGTAAACATATTTTAAGGTTATGTTTTATCCAAACTATCTGGACTAGCTTGATTGTATAATCTTACCTTATAAATAAGGCTATTTTGGAACATATGTGGGTTAATGGTGTAGATGCTGACCCATTTGAAGTCACGAAGAATAAGTATTTAAGTTACCAAAAGTGGGTGGATCTGGACAAAAAGAAAGTGAATGGGGCTGAGAACATCAGTCCATGTTTAGAGGTGAAGCACCTACCTGTCATATTTCCCTGTCTTGAGTCTTCTGGGGTTGGCATTGGACCAAGTGTTTAATTAGCTTCAGGTAATGTGCCTGTTGGTGTTTCAGATTGTAGATACATACTATATATCCTATTCAATGTTAGCCATTCCAGAGAAGTTTTACATACTTCTAACTAGAGGGATTCAATAATAATTGTAGATGGTTTATTTGTAATGCTTTAGAGAGGTTTTGGATCTATTCAAATGGTTACCTTTTCTGAAGGTTTCTCAAGTATCACCAAACTGCTCACCACATTTATGAAGGTTAAAGATTTAGGACAGAAAAAAGAGCTGTTGATTAAGAATGTATTATAAAAGGCCACTCTAAAATGTGTAGTTTTATCACACAGCACAATGCCACAGATGTAGAAAGTTTTGAGGGAACGTGAAATTGGCTTGCTGACTGCAGGAATGTCCACCAGAGCTGTTGCCCATGAATTGAATATTAATTTCTCTATCATAAGCCATCTCCAAAGGGGTTTCATAGAATTTGGCAGTACATCCAAGTGGTCTCACAACCGCAGACCATGTGTAAACAGACCAGCCCAGGACCTCCATATCCAGCATCTTCACCTCCAAGATTGGTTTGCATAACCAACGAATTTCTGCAGGGAAGCTCATCTGTATGCTCGTCGTCCTCATCAGGGTCTCGACCTGACTGCAGTTCGTCGTTGTAACCGACTTGGTTGGCACTTTGGCGAGGTGTTCTCTTAATGAACGAATCCCGGTCTTTACTATAGTGTTTTTACTGTACAGGGCAGGTGGCAGTCAGCATCGTTGTGGTTCGAGTGGCCCATGGTGGAGGTGGGGTTATGGTATAGGCAGGCGTATGTTATGGACAACGAACAGTGTGGTATTTTATTGATGGCATTTTAAATGCACAGAGATACCGTGATGAGATCCTGAGGCCCATTGTTGTGCCATTCATCCACAACCATCACCTCATGTTGCAGCATGATAATGTTGCAAGGATCTGCACACAATTCCTGGAAGCTGAAAACATCCCAGTTCTTGCATGGCCAGCATACTCACCGGACATGTCATTCTCTGGATCGGCGTTTATGACAGCATGTTCCAGGTCCTGCCAATATCCAGCAATTACGCACAACCATTGAAGAGAAGTGGACCAACATTCCACAGGCCACAATCAACAACCTGATCAACTCTATGCAAAGGAGATGTGTTGCACTGCGTGAGGCAAATGGTGGTCACACCAGATACTGACTGGTTTATGGACCACTCCGGACCCTCACATCTGCAACCCTGGAGGCATTTAGAGCGTCCATAGGAAAGCATAGAAAAGTGCACTGCTGCCCATGTGCATTCGGCTCCGCTGACATCAGACGGGGGAGCTAATGTCGGCGGGGAAGGAGAGGTAAGGGAGCCCAGTGGTGGAATAGCATCACCCCTTCAGCACCACGGGAGGGGGACCCTAAGGGTGGGGGCACCCTCAGGGTACTATAGTGTTAGGAAAACCGATTTTTTTCCTGACACTATAGTGATCCTTTAAAAAAAAAAAAAATATATATATATATATATATATATATATCAGCAAAAATAAACTCCAAGTAATCTATGTTTAAAATAAAATGATGAAGCAAATATGTGATTCTTTGTTGAACTAGTTTGTATATGCCCACCAATAATCCCTTGCAGTAGTAACATTACTGCAAATCTGAGATTTCTGTGGGAAAAGCAAGTCTTATAACTTGACTTGTGTTTAACAACATATTAATTACCCACTGACTGCAGGTGGAAGGAGTTTTCAATCACTTTTTTCCCCATCATAACTTTCTTGGTTTGTGCTCTGTATATAAATAACATACATGTGTATAATATAATATGTCTATTTGTTCCTTCAACCTAACATTATAATAATTACATGGCACAAAATTATTTCACTGCATCAAAATGAATTGTGCTGCCTATGCATTTACCAATATGCATTCACCAAACTTTTCATATTATCTATAAGAGAAGATTTTGTTTGAATTATATATTTCTTTATTGAATGGAAGTCTTAACATAGGACATGTGAAAATGACCAATGAAACCAACAAGTCTATTGTCTATATTTATCTTACTGCCAAATATAAAAGTGTTTCGAAAATTTTACTTGGCTTTATTAGTTTCCTTAAAAATTCTAACAGAGGTTTGTCTTCAGGGCAAATGAATGCCTTTTAGAAAACTTTCATCGTTTGTTTTTCATCTCCATGTGAGTTTTCTGAACTTTTTCTGAACTTGCTTGAAAAGACTCAGTTTCAGGAGATTTAAAAAGATAGACAGCTTTAGATGTGAGATGTAAGGAACAATATATTCATGTCATTTTTTCATTTTTTTTTATTTTATTTTTTTAGTTATGCCATTGTTATTTGGGAATTACTCACTCAAAAGAAGCCCTATGCAGGTACATATTCCTTTTTATATGTTTATACATGTTGATCATAGTTGCCCAAAGAATTACTCAAAATGTAAAACACTTGGGACTGGCTGTTTAAAATGTATTCTATTTTATCCAATATCGGAGAAGACGGCCATGCATTAGTAAACCTCAATATAATATATAACCAGGAAGGCCTTGTGATTCTCTAAGGACTCTAAACACGCTAGGATATTACGAATTTTACAATTTACTTTGTCTACATACAAAGAGAACACAACATAGTGTGATTAAAAATCCTAAAATGGTCTTTCGTCCCTTTTTGTTTTGTGTTAACATGCTTTAGCGGTCCTACCTATAGCTAAAGTAACATTTCTTTGAAACATGAGATAGTTAAAATATACATTCAGCATCAAAAAATAAATGTTGTGAATAGGTTGCTGTTCAGAGATACATAAACCATTACATTCTGTTGATTTACACAATTTGTCATTTATCGAGTCATCCTTTATATAAATATTGAAAGCATACCATATTTGTAACATACACAGGGTATGCAACTTGGTAAATTAGAATGGTCATATTACCTTGTTATGGGTATTTGAAAGGATCATGATGTAATTGTGAGCAACACAGCTTAATAAAAATGGCCACATGGCTTAAAAAATCCTTATATTTGATCATAATGTCAACAGTAATTCAATTTAAATGGTTATATGGGTTAGTTCATTTTCAACTTATTTACTGATATTCAAATTGTGAGAATTCTGCCATGTCAAAATTAGTAATGGAATGAAAGTAAACTAATTGTATGTAAACATGACTTTGCATTTCTAAATAAAAGTAAAAACGTTTACATATGGCTTTGGTAAGGAAGGGTTTCACCTGTTGTCTATATGGAGGTTGGATTCCATTTCAATGTCCTTCAGGTCCTTGTAGGTAATGGTTAATTTTTGTTTTTAATTTGCCTGATTTTACAGCTGTGGCAGGTCATTTTAAGTTGCAGGGAGTAACTTGGCAGGGTTTGGCGCTGTTGGCATGTTCACGTCATATTTAGAATTATAGACAATCCGCTTACCCACAAATAGGTCTCATGATCCCTGTGCATCACCATGTGATTTGACAAGTTCACGTTCTAACCGATGGCACCACATCTGTGTAAGTGATCACTTTAATAATGGGGCTGGCTATGCACTGTGAAACCATGGCATATTGTTACCTCCTTGATAGCAGAGGTGGATCACTGTAAAAAATAACATAGCTGTTCTGTACTACTGTATAAAACAAATTATATTATAGCTTACCTTTGCTTTTAGGTGCCAACATGATGGCAGTTATCATAAAGGTGGCTTCTGGTCAACGTCCCCCAATTGAAGACATTTCGGAGGACCGTCCAGTGGAATGTCATCAGATGATTGACTTGATGCAGAGATGCTGGAATCAGCATCCCAATAAAAGGCCAAGCTTTGCAGGTTAGTAGTAACTTATTTTTGCGATTTAATCAATACACTTCAATTATGTGTTACATAGTTACTGTCAGGGTGGCGGTCCGGTGCCCGGGACCCAGACACTGTCCGGGCGGCTGTGCGAGGACCGGGACCCAGTATGCCTGATGATAAGTGGGAGTCTTCAGCGTGAGAGTGGATAGGTCAGGGTCTGGTGCAGGGTAACCGCACGCCCCTTGGTGTTGAGCACCAGCGTTTGTGCAGCCACAAACCAGAACCCTGATGCAGCTTATGCGGATCCTAGGAACTAGGAGCAGGAATTAAGCAGACCTCCCATGAGCTGAATAGGGAGGCTCTGCAGCAAGAATGTATTCAGTACAGAAACAAGGCAAGACTAGAGATAGGCAACAAACATGAAAACAAGACAAAACTAGGAGAACCCAGAACCGGAGCAGGATAGAAAGCAGAACATGTACACAAGACATGAGGAAAACAAGAACAGGGCAGGACAGGACTGTACATGAACTGGGAATACAAGACATGAGATACAAGGTAAAACAAGAGGAGACATAACTAAGTACTATATATGAAAATCATGGGGATTTAGTCACATTATATGATCATACATTGCACAAGCCTGCCAACAATGCCAATGTACCCCATATCTAGCAGGCCCTACACTGCCTAATGCAAGCTAAACCAACCAAAGAAAACACACATAGTACTTACCTGCAAGAAAGGGCAGAAGACTTGAGCAGCTGCCTGCAGGAACACTGAAACAAAAGGAATGATGGAAACCAAACGGGTGGGGCAACATAAAACAAACATTTAAATGAATCAAAGAGACTGGGAAATCCCGGGATGGAATACAGGAATGAACCAAGAAACTAAACTCCAATTTGTAACAAACCAACATCTAAATGGTAAAACACAGGTTAACACAATGAAGGTGTAACTATACTTGAGAATGAGAATTTTTCAAAAACAGGTATTGTAGACAAAATTGTGCCTTTTTCAATTTCAATTCACTGCAATTCAGAGATTAATGAAATGGCCTGCAATTTTTTATAAGAAGATGGAAATGTAATGTATGATATGGACATTTGAAATTATGGTAATGTGGCTTCGGAGGTCAGAGGCACAATTTACAATTCATAGTTTTTTCATCAGCAATATATTCAAATTATGCAGAGAACATTTGTGAGAGAATAGATTTATTTCTTCATGTCAATTTAAACTTTTTTGTCTGTTCAAATAACTGTTTATAAGGCAAATATTAGATTCAATTTAAACATATCTTTTTGCCCTCATGCATTCCATAATGTATTATATAACATGAATAGGGATGTTAATGAAAGTATTTTATTTTTTGATAATCACCCCTTTCATTTATATTTGAAGAACTTTTTTAGTATCAAACAAGAAAACATTTTAGTCTATTGCCAGTCTAAAAGGAAAAAGGGATTTTTTTTTTTTGTAACTGAGACTCATCAAGACAAACATAAAAAGTAACTAATGGACCAAACTCACTACAACTAATATCCTGCACCTAAATAAAGCCTGTGTATGCATACATAGAATGCAGTGGAAAAAGAGATTCGATATAAGACCACTAACATAAGTGACATGTTTATCCTTTAAGTATTGATATATTAGACCCCCTTTATTAAAGGGACACTCCACTGACCAAAAACAAAACAAATAAAAATCACTGTTTAGTAGATATGAAAACTTGCACGTGTTTAATTATTTATTTTTTCATCGGGGATATATCTAAAATAAGCTTGCAATTCTTGCAGTCCTCCCCTTTCTAACCCTGCCCAGAGTTTTTATAGTTGTCCAATCACAGACTTCCAAATACAGCTCAATAAGAAGTCTTTGTAAGTCAGGTGCTCTGGGTAATTGTTGCCTCTTGAGGTCAGCCAGCTGCATTGAGCTAACAAAACCCTAAAGTAAAACAACCCGTTGTCTGCTTGAAAACAAAAGGGGGGTGTAACCAGGTTAATTTATAAAAGTGCCAAGTTGTAATGAAAGCTGCACTTTTTGCAAAATGAAAAAAAAGAGGACACACTCTTCCCACATAAACCTTTTTTAACAAGCTAAATTTGTTTAGGGTTCTTTAAGGCACAAACATAAAGGATTAGATGAGCAGAAATAGGTACAAATAAATAAAAATATAAATTTTGTTTCCAGAATGGATACACACTTAGGGATTTATTCTTCTCCAAATGTACTAATTATAAGAGTTCAACAATAGTCTAATAATCGTATATAACAAGCAGAACTAGTGTAAAGTATCCTATATACATTTATTCTGTAATACTAAAGACAGTCTATTTCCACGACATTGTTATAACATAATAGCAGTTAAGGCATAATTATAGATGAAGAGGGTATTTTGAGTTGATGTCACTTATTTCCAGTAACCTCAATTTCTACCGAAGGTGAGCTGTAACTGAAATGATCAGAAGTGCTACTGAAATATAATAAGATAATTGTCAGTGTTACACAATGGCTACATTGGTGGTACTCCAAAGTATGTATAAATTATATATGACAATTTGAAGATAAAAAAATACACACAGATCCCCCCAGTGCAACTGTCGAAATCACTTGCTATCGGGTTGAAAGGAATTACTCAGTTGATGTATTGTCTACCATGGACGTTAGTCTTGTCTACTTCTACGAAATGCTTCTGTGCATTTTTCAGATATCTATTGAAGTAGCTTTTTTTTGTTTAAAGAATTACTTATTTTTTAACTTCAAATTGGGAATAGTTTCTCCAAAGGCAGGCATACTGATCAATTGGTATACCATATATGAAAAGATTAGAATGTTAACTGTTCCTGGAAAGTAAATTACCGATTGAGGTGGGTTTGCTTTATAAAGCAGAGTCCAGATAACTATTCCCCCCTTTATTAAGGCTACTAAGTCCATTATCTAACTCCAAAATGGATTATTTCAGATTGGATTTCGTATGTGAATCTTGGGTTCATATCATTTATAGTCAAAGATATGACAAAGCCCATGAAGGTTACTAAGATACTGCTTTTAGATTGGCTTGTGATATAGTTTAAAAGTAGTTAGTGATAAAGTTTGTTCTCAAATATAAAAATGGTTTTAAAATGAAATGTAAACTTAGAAGGAAAAAGTTTGCATGTTCTGTAATCTCTTTTTCTGATAATATTTATAGTGAAGTGTTGGATGATATCTGCAATTTTCCAAGCCTACATGATTGGGCATAGAGCTGTAGAGGTCTTCTACATTATTTCATTATATTTAAGTAACACTTTGAGGTTCTCAATTAAAGCTCACTGTTGAAGTGCTGCCTGATCTTTACATATGTATTACCAACAATCACATTATAACATTGTAATGAATATAGAAATTCTGTTTATGCAGTAAGTAGAAATCATGAGTGGATTCTTGACACTAGTAACATCCACCATAATAATCTCTTATAGAGTTAGTCAATTAGTCCATTTGAGATTCAGTTCACTCACTACATTTGGAAGTGATTAAATCCCTAACACAGTGTAAATCTGGACACAAATATTAACAGATATGTTAATATATTAAATATTTCAATAACATATTTAACATTTTTTAATGTGACTCATTGTGATTGGTATTTCTAATTGCTAACTGGATAATTATGAGCCTAATTATCCAGTACATTTGGGATGATTAATTATCTTGCTGTGAAAGATACCATTAGCAACAAATAAATATCAATAGTAGTGATATGCTAGGATAACTTCAGTATATAGCACCTTGTAAAAACACCATGGATTGTGATTATCCTTTGTTTTTAGATTTAAATACAGTTTATTGTTGTATTAATAACCTGACTAATAATTAAAATGTTTTATTCCTAAAATAACTTCCCATAAGATACAGGGCTGAATCTAAAATTCTGGTACTTGCTTATAAACCTCTCCATAATGCTACTCTATCCTCCCTAATACACAAGTATGTTCTGTCTGCCTCTATCCTCTGCCTGTACTCCAACCTCTGATGCTCACCTTCAAGACTGCACCACTCCTGTGGAACTCCCTTCCCTGCCTCGTTAGACTTTCACCCGGTCTCCGTTCCTTCTTGAAAACTCACTTCTTCAGAAAAGCATATCAATTAAACTGTTAACAGCTTTCCTTACCCACACCCTGAGTCTTGTCCTGCAGCTACCATAAAAAAACACCCCTTAAGCCCCCAGTGAGTACTTTTCTAGCAACCTTTTTTTCTACCCTATCCTTACCTTTTGTATCGCCATACCCCACTCCCTCTAGCATGTAAACTAATTGAGCAGGGCCCTCAATCTATCTGTTCTTATGCGCCCAACTTGTCTGGTTACGAATACGTGTCTGTTAGTCCTCATATTGGAAAGTGCTGTGGAATTTGTTGGTGCTTTATAAATAATAATAATGATAGTGTCTTTGTTCAAATTCTGGTGAAACCGGGCTTCAAGCAGTGTTTACTGATATGATGTTTTTAGGAAGCCAAAATTATTTATTATTCCATAATATAGTTTTTAAGGCTTAACTATTCCTTCAATATATATATTACAACCCCTTCTATTCAGCAGCCTATATAGGTACAACTAAATATTAGAACATATCAGCTGCCGGAAATGAGGGTCTGCTAGAAGCTTTTAAAGTGGCTCTGTCACCATTTGGGATATTCTGCAAAGACTCCCAATGATGACTGCCTCGTTTGCAGTGAGGTGGTCACAGGGTGCAAAGTAAGATGAGTTTTACTATTCATTTTCATGTGATTGGTCATCTTCAGCTCCTGGTGCTTCATCTGCCAGGAACCCACGTCAATGAGAGTACATTGACTTGCACCTGCATGAGAGTGCAACACTGTGGTCGGTGTGAGACCACAGGATCCTCCATAGATAATGCATTTTTCCCAAATTAAACTTGATGGTGGAAGGTCTGACTTTTGCCAAGTTTTGTCAGGCGCAGGGAATATACACAAGACAAAGTGTGTAAAGTTGTGTGTCAAGCACTCTTTAAGTATATATTTTTTGCTATACAAAAAAACAATAATCACCAACTGCTTCAGTGTAATAATCTAGAACATTTTTACAATCTTAAATGCATTAAAAATGTAGGGTATTTTTTTAACTTGACTAAAAATGGCACATGCTCTTTCAATGAATCATTTTATTGAATATTATGGCATTCTCTATTTGAAATTATTAATCCCTGTCTTCCTTGTTTAGATATCGTCGTTGAATCACATATGTTGCTGTGCTTGATACAAATTCCTTTACCAGAACCTGAAGAAAGTTCAGGTAATGCAGAAGAAGACCACTTAAAGTCTTCTTCTGGCATATACCTTGAAGGAGCTAACAATGTAAGTATGACAAGATTCGAACGTTCATTAGGTTAATGGTTAATATTTTTAGCTTAACCATACATTTGTCAGGGTTATTCACTAAAGTGAGAATTTGAAATGAATTCAAATTACATTTCAAAATTAAGGTAAAAATAGCTGAATTGGAAAAGTTATCTAAGACTGCTATGTTTTCAGTCAATCTACTCTAGCGTTCTACTTGAAATTCACTTTGAATTCACTTTGTATTTTCTCTTTGGTAAATAACCCTGTTTATACAAAATTTGTACAAACATCATCCGGCTGTGCTATTGAAGGAAGTGATTAAATGAACTACAAAATGAACATATGATGTTTATATAATAATATAAAGCAGCACCTGCAATATCAGTATAGATGCACAATACATCTATGTCACAAATAAAAATAGTTATCATCAAATCAAGGACGGTTCCAGATCCTCTGATTTATTCAATGGTTAACAAACATTGATTAATGGCTCCTATTTCTTTCCATGTTCCCTTTATTCACCTGACTCTTTCTTGTTACATGTGACAATTGGATATGCAACATACTCAAATACAAGATTAAACAATACAAATTAAAATGAATAACAAAACAGACAGACAGACAGACAGGTAGGCAGACAGACAGACATGCAGACATGCAGACAGACCGACATGCAGACAGACAGACAGACAGACTAAGATACAAACAGACAGGCTAACATATAGACTAACATGCAGTCAGACAGACTAACAGACAGACTAACATGCAGACAGACAGACAGACTAACATGCAGACAGACAGACTAATACGCAGACAGTTATTTTGATAATTACTGTTCTTGTGGGGCCTGTGTCATGTTCCCCATCGATCTGCGTGTGGTGGTGGTGTCATTGTTGTGGTGACTTTAATTTATGCTATTTAATTATATAGTTTATTGCTTTTTACTTGAATATTATACACTTTTATGCTGATATTTTGTTTTTTTTATATGATATATAATGAATAGTTGTCTGCATATAAGTCAACATTAGTGTGAAAGTGGGTATTAGTTGAGAACACAGAAGATTAAATGAACCCCATGGGTTGAAGCCACTGATATAAACATGTATGACATTCAGATATTCATCACACAGCATACTAACACTAAATATACCCTAAACAGGCACTTTTGGGGACAACTTCTGACATTTCTACTTTCATTCATTTTTACAAATAAAATTGTAGATATTGACAGTATTTGCTTATTGACTGAATTAGTCAGCCTGTCACCTATTTGGACTCCTACCTGTAGCTTAGCTCCCTATCTGGCTAAAGATAAAGATAAAGATAAAAGATAACATTTTAATTTTGGGGGAAAAAATCACTATTTTTTATGTAAGCGCATCTTAAAATATAAATAAAATATAATCAATGATATGTCAAATAATCCTACCTGTAGCAACTAAGTAATTTTTCCCAATCTTTCATCTAGGGAAGCCAGCAATCATCTACCGAGACCGAAAGCAGTGGTGAGTATATATTTTAAAATGTTTAAGCAAGTATCTTTCATCTATCTGTCTTTCTGACTTCTGATTAGAGGAGAATGCTGAATATAAGTGGAGTGTTAGATAACTGGAAAAGAGTCAAAATCCTCTACTGGTGTTTAGTACAAATTATATATGTCATATTGATGATAATGCATGTTTTCAACTACATCATTATTATAAATATACAACACTGCCATAATTAGGTGCTACACTAATGTGACACTCACCCACTACTACTGGCTATGCCCAGCAAGCCTTCCTACCTTATAGACCCTGTTTGTAAAGACTTTTATAGATATACCTCACCCAGATCCCATATTGTCATCATGGTGGGGTGACATCGGCCATTCTGTTTCTATATTCTTCTGGAAAATTTCAAGAGCACTCCCTAGAAGAATAACCATAATAACTTGCACTGTAGTTGCTGTGCTGGAGAGAAGTAGAAAGACCTGTTGAAAAAAAAAACAGTCCTTGTCTCATTTCTTGGAAAAGAGGGCTATGAAGGTGACATTTATGCCAAAAACTGATTGACAGATGAGGAAAGGAACCATGGCCTCGATTTAATAATGTTGGACAATCTTTCCAACGGATATAATAATTTTTTTGTTGGATAAACTTTTCAAATGTTTTTTAACTTTTCAACATAGTAAAATATCAAAACATATATCATATATATATAAAACTATCTCAATATATTAAAAAAATCTAAATAATAAAACATTTAAATATTTTTAATAATTTTAAATCTTTTTTAAAAGTTTAGCCAAAAATATGAGATAATTTAGAAAACATATCCGACAATATATTATCTATAGACAAAAGTATCCTTAACACCATGTACAATAAAGTTGTGGGTCAAGCATTTTTTAAGTAAAACATAAATATAACACAAGGTTTTAGTATGTATTGGAAAACTTCACAATGATAAAAATCCTCAGTAATATGAAAGTTCACATATTTTTTTTCTTCTCCCATAGAAGAAGACAGTTTAATGACCTTTGTTCTAGAAAACAATGAAGATATGTCCTGGGTAGATGAAAATAATTTCACCCTGCTCCACGTTGCTGTTAACCAAGGAAATCTTGAGAAAGTGAATCGTTTTATTAGTCTTGATGCCAATGTGAATAGTAGAACAGTTACCGGATTTACGCCTCTCATCCTGGCAGTGCAAAAGAGACTTCCAGATATATGCAGTTCTTTGATTGAGAATGGGGCAGATGTAAATATCACTGATGAAGACAGTTGGTCTCCTCTTCATTTTGCAGCTCAGCTCGGGGATGACAGGATTGCAAGACTTCTACTTGATCACTCTGCTGCTGTTGATGCACAGGAACGTGATGGATGGACACCTCTTCATTTAGCATCCCAAAATGGTTTTGAGAATGTTGCCCGTGTCCTTTTTACACGGCATTGTGACCCGAATATTCAGGAGATAGATGGGAAAACTGCACTCCATCTAGCTTCATATTTTGGCCATAGCAAACTTGTAAAACTTCTGTCTAACCAAGGAGCTGATCTAAACAGAATGCAGAATAACCACAGGACTGCTCTACATATTGCCACTGAAAGAGGTTATTTTACAGTTCTGAAGCATTTGATACAAAAAGGAGCCAATGTGAACTGCTGTGATAAGAGCAATTACAGCCCTTTGCACATAGCAGCATTGAAGGGTAACAGTTTAACCTGTAGACATCTAATAAGGCATGGAGCTCAAATTGATATGAAGAATAACCAAGAGTGGACACCATTACACCTTGCAACATTTAAAGGACACATTGGAGTTATTAAGTTACTCAAGGAAAATGACGCTGACTTGAATGTGAAAGGAGGTATGGGATGGACACCTCTACATTTAGCCGTACGCTATAGTGAGGACTCTGTGGTTTCTATACTTCTCGATTTGGAAGCTAACCCCAGTATTGCTGAAATGTCAGGCTGGACTCCATTGCACCTTGCTGTCCAACGAGGTGCCTTTTGCAGTGTTATTAACCTTATTGAAAACAAAGCAGACATTAATGTAAAGAATAAATTTGGTTGGACTCCATTACATTTGGCAGTGTTAAATACAAATGCTGCCATTATTAAGACTTTGCTGCTGGCCAATGCAAAGTTAAATATTGAGGATGTTAATGGTTGTACACCTTTACAACTAGCAGTTAGGAATAGAAAACACGTAATTGTTGCTCTCTTGGAAGGCAAGGAAGCCGTATCTAGTAGTTCTGAAGAAGGAAGTGACTATTCGGGATCTTTGCTGAATTTGCAAGAGCAACTGCAATAACTATACTCTTGTCTGAAAAAGTTGCAGAATTTTGCATAAATCTTTGATAAAAACAGCTAGAATTCCAAAGATTCTATGCAAATTGATCTTTCAACAAAGAATTACGCAGAGCTGGTCTTACTCAATAATGCTGAATACTGAAAGCCATATATCACGAAAAGCATCCTTCCATGAAGACTTTCCAATCAAACATACAGTGTAATAAATAAATAAATAAAGCAAAATGCTACAAATGATGCTAAATCAAGTTATGAGTCTGATGCGTGAATTAACCACAAGTTGTTTATGGTTTTATTATTACATGATCTGAAATATAGTGCATTTCACTCATTTTGATTTGTTGGGATTAATAAATTACATGATCCAACTTATCTTCTATCTACTATGCAATTTTAAATAGTGCCTATTCGACTGTATGTTGATCACAATCTGAACCAGTTTTACAGAATACCAAATAATCACATAGCTTTCTTTTCATCTTCAAAATCAAAATAATGCTCTAGGATAAATCACAATAGAAACCCCGTCCTGAACTGGTTAAGAAACTATAGGAAATCAAGACTGATTAACAAATTAAAATTCAAAAAAAATAAATAAATAAAAATAAAATATATAAATATATATATGAAAAGGAAATAGTCCTTGCACACATGCTGTAATAAATATATATACCAGGTGCCAGCCAGGGTTGAAATTATCCAAGAAAAAGTAAGGGAAAGCTGCACTCACAGTCTTCCATTAAATTTCAGTTTATTGGGTATACGTTAAAAAGATTGACGTTTCAGTCCTATGGTAAGGACTTTCTTATGTTTGATCCTGAAGAAAGTCCTTACTATAGGACTGAAATGTTGATCTTTTTTTATGTATACCCAATTAACTGGATTTTAATAGAAGACCGTGAGTGCGGCTTTCCTTTCCTTTTTCTTATATATGTGTATATATGTATATAGACACAGATTTTATTGCAGTCCAATAAATGGTTAGAAAAATAACAAACTGTAAATGATGTATACATTTCTTTTTAATGTGGCATTTTTACTAAGATGTATAAATCGTATAAATATGTAAATAAATAAATATGTTTTATATAAAAAATGCAGACAGGATGGGAACACTTAACTGGATTGCATACTGGCCTCAATTTAATATTTTTGGATACGCTTTTCGAAGGATTTAATATTTTTGGATAACCTTTTAAAATTATAATTTTTTAAAAAATATTTTAATATGATTTGATACATAGATTTTTATATATGATATATTTATTGATATTTTATTATTTTGGAGTTTATCTTTTTTTTTTTTTTTTATGTTTATCCAAACATTTTAAGTCAAGGCCATTATCAGCCACTTAGAAAGTAGAGTTTAGAGTTAAGGTTGGTACAGTATTGGAGATATTATCACTTAAAACATATGGCAACAAATTCAAGTGCATAATTCATATTAAAAACATCTTTAAAAACTCTGGATCTTTATAAAATATGTAAACAGCTTAAAGGAAAACTCTGAGTGCCATAACCACTAAAAACATATATAGTGGTTATGGTACCAAGAGTGCCCTGATACCCCTCTTTGTAACTAGTCAAAGCATTTGCTAATTGTTTGAGGGCTGAAAGGCCCTATAAAGTAATAACTATCTTAAATACCTGTAGCTTGGGTAGTCATATAAACTCCCAAGCTAATTTTTTAAGTAGAATCTTTAAGGTCTAATTCATAAAACAGACTTGTCATTAGTCTGGCAAATAGTGTTGTAATTTTTCATAATGAATTTTTGCATGGTTAACTCCAAAAGGGAGATTTATCCCTGTTAATTGATTTTAACCATTGTGTTCTTTATGTGTGATATGTACGGACAATAGCTAAGATTTATGGAGAGATATTATGTTTACCTTTCCACAGTTTTATTAGTAAATATGTGCACTTTAAACATATTGTGTTAATATAAATAATGTTATTACATTTTTATAATGGTAAAATAGTGTATTATAGTATATTATCACCATATAATCTGTGCATTTTTTTTTGTTTAATCATTTTTATTGAAAAGAGTCATGTAACATAAAGTGGAATATATATGAAGAATGTCAATATTGCATAAATGTTTAAATTACAATAATATACAATAAAATTATATATTTTTAAATGTACAGCATGTACCAGATTCTACTCTTCTGATTTTTTGAGTTTATTTTATAAATATTTAAGCACAGTCACCAATACCCATAGAGCCAATTTGTAAATAATCAAGAACAAAGACCATATTCAATACATAATAAAAACAATAGACAACTCATACAGATCAGATTAAATAGAGAAACCAAAGACACTAAAGAAATTAGCATACTAACAAGATCAATCATCAATAAAACTCAATGGAGACAATTCAGATAACACTTAGAAATATAGAGGAAAAAGGGAGAAAGAAAAGAACAGAAACATAGTGCATTATTGTTTATTAAGGACACATCCACTGTACACATATCTCCAGGGTCTACATCAAATATATTAAAATATATATTAAACTCTATAGTCAATAGTGTTATTTAGAACATATATTTACCAATGTTATTGTTTGGTTTCTATCTAGCCAAAATAATCATCTAGTGAATTTAAACACAGCAATGCGCAAGCAAAATAAAAATAAAATATTTGTCCCCTTTTTGTCTAATAGATGGCAAGATTATTTTAGTTTAATTTTAAAGTACAGCATGTAGTCAATGTGACATGAAAGGTATTCTAGGCATTACAACAACCTTTGCCCTTCACATTATGGTGTGATGATGGCGCATGGGGTTATAGCGCAAGGAACGCTCCCTATCTCTTTAAAATTGTTTTCTTATAACTGTATTCATTTTTAATAACCACTGGAGCTATAAGCCCACTGCTTGCTCAAATAAATAGAAGAAACCACATTTCAGTCTTGTGTAGTTATTTTATTCATGTATTTTCATGAATGAAATAACTGGAGATTGCTGAACAACCGATCAAAAATACACATGCTGAGTAGAAACCTGTGGGACATGCTCAGTGCACCCTCTGAAAATAAAGGGTTACAATTAACTAAGAAAGAGTCTTATGGATATTGTTTACAGATGTTGTTGAACTGAATTATATGATTTTTAATTATAAATTAATAATAATAACATTAGTGCAAAATTTATTACACATTTGGAAGTGGGCAAAATGGGTAATGGATAATTAATTAATTGCTTTTTTTTCCAGTAAAGTAAGTTTTTACAATAACTGCTAGAACAGTGATATCTGCAGTTATACCCCATGAATTTTGAATTGTATTGAATTGTATTTTGTCCATAAATGGCTGACTAAGCTAAGCATCATGGGAAATATAGTACCCATCAGTTGATATTTGCGCAGTTTACCATAACTATGCTAGGATTTTGTGCTTTGTTTATATATAAATAATCATTGACATACAATACTGCAAAAATGCTAATGATAATGTATTACATTTTAAAAAAACACACGCATCTGTATATAATTTGGTGCAATTATATTTTCCGTTAAAATGTCAATAGTGTGCAGCATTTAAAGAAGAATGTCTATTAATAACATACAGCAGGTCATTTGTGCAGTTCCTTAATAAAATATTTGTGCTATCTCGGCCTTGAGTGACTTTTTATGACCAATTGGACTTGTTGAAATTGACACTGAATGGCTAAGTAACTCTAGCATTGCAAACTCATGATAGAATGTGACAGCTTGTCATTTCACAGCTTAGTCATAAAGCTTCAGTGTTTTGAATGTTGTTTTGAGAAAGCTGTGACATTTGCTGAGAGAATACAAGATGTGTTGTGCTCCTCTTCTGATCATAGCGATTGAGTAAAAATAATAATTCTATAAATAAGCATTCACTTTAGTTTATACTATAGATTAAAGGACATCTATAGTGCCAGGAAAACAAGCTCATTTTCCTGGCACTATATAGTCCTTAGGTCCCCCCCAACCTCAGGTTAATACAATTGTTTATTTATGATTTCAACAACTTAAAATCGATTTAGCATCCATCCATCCATCAAATTGCCAAGATTAATTCTATTTCAGTTGAAACAGCAGGAATTATCATCCAGAAATCCCTGCTAAATGTTACCATCCCCAGATGAGATATCAATGGTCTAGATCTCACTAAAGATTATAGTGGCTGGTTATATGGTAGAATCGTAGAATCTGGTCAACCCTTGGGGGTCACAGATTCAAGTCCAGCAGGGTTGACTCAGCCCTTCATCCTTCCAAAGTAGATAAAATGCGTACTATTCAATTGGGTAACAGTAACATCTCCTGAATGTTGGGCAAAAGTAACATCCACTGAACGTATGTGGAATGGAAACCAGAGCACTCTATATGTACCTTTCCTGGTTAAAGGGACACTATAGTCACCTGAACAACTTTAGCTTAATGAAGCCGTTTTGGTGTATAGAACATGCCCCTGCAGCCTCACTGCTCAATCCTCTGCCATTTAGGAGTTAAATCCCTTTGTTTATGAACCCTAGTCACACCTCCCTGCATGTGACTTGCACAGCCTTCCACAAACACTTCCTGTAAAGAGAGCCCTATTTAGGCTTTCTTTATTGCAAGTTCTGTTTAATTAAGATTTTCTTATCCCCTGCTATGTTAATAGCTTGCTAGACCCTGCAAGAGCCTCCTGTATGTGATTAAAGTTCAATTTAGAGATTGAGATACAATTATTTAAGGCAAATTACATCTGTCTGAAAGTGAAACCAGTTTTTTTTTCATGCAGGCTCTGTCAATCATAGCCAGGGGAGGTGTGGCTAGGGCTGCATAAACAGAAACAAACAGTAATGACAAGGACACTCAAAGACAGAAACAGGTAGTGAGCTACATCATTGAGGTTATTTAAAAAAAAAAAAGATCCTCAAATTTTGGCCTAAAATTTGCAATTTGCTGGTCAATTCCCTACAATTCCTGGCTTAGTAAAAAATCCCAAATCCCAAAAATCCCAAAACACATCCCCAAAGTGCTAGTTCTATACTGGTACATTGCTAAGTGATATGGATCCATATCTCATGCATTGGTTCTCAAACCAGTTCTCATGGCCCACCAACAGCCCAGGCTTAATGTATTTCCCTTTTTTATTCAAATGGAGATACTGACAAAATCTGGACTGTTGGTGGTCCATAAGTACTGGGTTGGGGACTACAGATCTAGTGCTACTTCTTCGCCTCTGCCAGGCTCAGCTAAACACGCACTCCATTCTTTTCACACCAATCCTCCTCCCACTGGCAGTACATGTAAGAATTAATAATAATAATAATAGGACAACACTTTTCCCCAAATTACTAATCACTCATGAACAAATAAAATATTATATAATGCACAATATGTCCTTTAGATTTTAGATGATAAGTGATGTTATTACAGATAATCCCACTGAAGTGTGCTGGAACATAAACACAATTGGGGGGGAGAGACAGAATACCGCTAATAGGATAGTATAGTTAAAACTAGTTAAAAATATTTATTAAAATATACATAAAAGACATTCCAAATGGAGCCTCACATTAAAGTAAGAGATTACCAGCATTTCAAGAAGGGCAGCCTGCTGGGGTTCAGGGATCTGATTCTCCTTATGCCAGACTCGGATGCAGCCAGCTGCTGGTGGGGATAATATCTAATTTCAGCGGGTGAAACTCCACTTTGCAAAGTCCAAGAGAGGCTCCACATTCTGTCAGATCTTGAATATACTAGTCTCTTGACAAATGTGTTTCATCCTTTCAAAGAGCTTTATCAGTGGCTAAATCTAAATTTGTCAAAAACATTTTTTGTAAGTTAGCCAATAGATTTTGTGGCTAATAACTTAAAGAAATGAATCTGACTGCAAGACTATAGTGGCTACAGCTTTGGGTTTCATTAAGAAGATGAAGAGGACCAGTCTTTTGAAGCAAACCTTCTCTCATAGACATGTAGTAATGTGTACCGCAAAGCTGATTTATAATGCTTCTCTATATTCTATCATTTTACTTTAGGTGAACTGTCATTAAAAAATATGATAGACTACTATATCTTAATTAAATGTTTTCTGAAACTTCTTGATACATAGTAAGTTTGAAGCAAGAATCCAAAGAACTAAATATTTTCGTTGTAGAACTTAAACTCATGTTACTTTGTTAACCATAAGGCTAGCAAAGCATAATGGTAGATGTGGTTCTGCAAAAACTGGTGATCTACTTCCCTGCCACCCCTGGTTTGAACTAAGCACTATGAAGTTAAACAACTAAGGGGGCTATGGATTAGTATTATATATACAAAATATAGAGCACAAACAATATATATAAATGTTATTTGCATGGTTATTCATTAAGGTGAGAATTGTAGGGCATTCAAAGTGCATTTCAGGCAAATTTCAATTTCAGAGCACAAGAACTGAATTGAAATGATAGCTGACTTGCAGAATTTTCCCAGATCATCTTTTTTAGCCTTAAATTTTAAATAGTGCAACTATTGCCTATACTGAACAACCCTGCGGAATGGGAGTCAGAGTCATTCTCATTACTCTTCACTCTCGTGTCTGGGCTGCAATAAGGAGCAGGGACAGACTTTATATTCTATCGCTGCTACCTCCTACCAGCAGGTGGCGCCAAACAGCACTGAGCTCCTGCTAGAACCATCAGTTCCATGCCGCTCAGCCACACTACCACCAAGGCAGGTAGGCAAAGCATAACTTTATTTTAAAATGATAAAAACAGGGAGAGTATATGGAAAGAGGGGCAGATTGTGTGTGTGTGTGTGTGTTATGTAGAAAGCTATCGGTGTGCCGGGAGAATATGTACAAAGTTGAAGGTGTGTGGTGTATATAAGAAAAGGGACAGAAGTTGGGGGGAAAGAATATGGAGAAAGATGAAAGTGTGTGTGCAGAATATGTAGAAAGTTGAAGGTATGGATGAGGTATATGAGAAAAGACAGAAGTTGCCAGGGGGCAGGGAATGTGTACAGAAGAACAGAAAGTGGGGGAGAAAATCTGGAGAGAAGAACATTAGGTGAGTATGGAAAGAGGGACACCACTGTAGAATGAGACAATATGGAAAGAGGTACAGGGTAATGCAGGATAGTAGGTAAATGATGATGTGATATGAGATTTTTACTGCTGTAGAACTCTGTTATGTTCATATACAGTAAGTAGAGATTGTAGCCGTATTAGTCCAGTGATGTAGATGTAAAAGACAGATAAAATGTGTATATTGTAATACCATTTTTATTGGACTAACAGAATTTTTTAAGTCCTGAGATCTATTCTGTGAGAGCTCCCATTCCTGAAATTACAAGAATGGGATCTCTCACAGAACAGATCTCAGGACTGGTAGAAAATACCCTAAAAACTCTAGTCACCAACACCAACAGCTTCATAAAAGACACAACCGACTTCCTCAACAAACTCAGCCAAATTACCAGTCTCCCTGCTAACACCATCCTTGTAACCATGGATGTGGAATCTCTGTACAGCAACATTCCACATACAGATGGCATCAATGCTTGCTTCCATTACCTCTCTAATGCCGACAAGCACAAATACAGCCCCCGAATTATCACAGAACTGTATACCATTGTAACGCGCTGCGGAATTTGACGGTGCTCTATAAATATAATAATAATATTAATAACTGGCACTATTCATCCTCACATATAATTATTTCAGTTTTAACAATGAGGTTTACCTACAAACAATGGGCACTGCTATGGTCACTAAGATGGCATCCCACTATGTTAATCTGTTTATGGCAGATCTTGAACAACATTCAAATATTATAGCTATATTGATGATATCTTTATAATTGGGACTTAAAGTGAAGAAAAACTGATACAGTTCCATGACTCTTTTAACACATTCCATCCTTAATCAAACTAAAAATGGAATATTCCAATAAATCTGTGAATTTTCTGGACACCACTATGACATGTAACAATGGCACAATCCACATCTTGGTTTACAGAAAACCCACAGACAGGTGCAGATACCTTCACAGCTCCAGCTTCCACCCCCTCCCATAATAAACAGGGCATCATCTACAGCCAAGCCACTAGATACCATGGCATATGCTCTGATCCTAATGACCATAATTCCCATCTAAATGTACTCTCCCAATCTATGAGACAGAAAGACTAAAAACCAAAGACTATTACTAAACAAATCAACTCTGTTGTAAAAACTCCATGCATGCACCTGCTACAGTATAGAGAGAACAAAATATCTACATGAGTGCCACTTGTGGTCACCTACAACCCAGCTCTTGAGGAAACACAGAAAATCATTAAAGACCTACAACCAATGTGAACAGAAGATGAGCGTCTGAAAAACATTTTCTCTGAAAACCCATGTTGGCCTTCAGACAACCACCAAACCGACAACAAAAATTAATCAAGATGAAGCTGTCCACTGATGGGAAGAATAAAGAAAACAATCAATGCAAAAATTCTCACTGCAAACTGTGTCAGCACATATGCACAGACAACACAGCCACACACAACAATAAAACCTACATCATTAAAGGATCATACTCCTGCACATCCAGCAATGTGGTATACATGATTCAATGCACCAAATGCCACCTAGGGTGCTACATTGGGGAAACCACCCAGTAATT